TACACCCCCCTCGCCCCGCCCGAACTGGTCCAATACGACATCGGTCTGAGCGCGCAGTCCCTGCTGACGGTGCTGAACAGCCGGATTGAAGCACGCAACATCATCCGGCAGGAGTCTGACCGATTGCTCGTGCTCGTAGGCCCCTGCAGCATCCACGACCCAGAGAACGCGCTGGAATACGCGGCACGCCTGCGGGGGCTGGCCGCGGAGCTGCAGGAGGACCTGTGCGTAGTGATGCGGGCGTACCTGGAGAAGCCGCGCACGACAGTGGGATGGAAGGGGCTGATCAACGACCCGGACGTCGACGACTCGTACAACATCAACAAGGGGGTCAAGGTCGCGCGGAAGCTGCTGGCTGACATCACCGACCAGGGGGTGCCCGTCGCCTGCGAGATGCTCGACACCATCTCACCGCAATACACAGCTGACCTCATCAGTGTCGGCGCCATCGGGGCCCGCACCACCGAGTCGCAGCTGCACCGCGAGCTGGCCTCCGGGCTGTCGTTCCCCGTCGGCTTCAAGAACGCCACCGATGGGTCCGTCGGCACCGCCGCCGACTCGCTGAAGTCGATGCGCGGGAAGCATCACTTCATGGGCACCACCAAGCAGGGCATCATCGCCATCACTAGCACCAGCGGGAATCCCGATGGGTTTGTCATCTTGCGCGGCGGGAGCCGTGGGACCAACTATGATGCCGAGAGTGTCAAGGCGACCAAGGCGATGCTGCAGAAGAAGGGGGAGCGGGAGGTCGTCATGGTGGACTGTTCCCATGGTATGTCTGGTTGAGTCGTCAAGTCACATCACTACCTACATGTCAATCTTGTCTTGGGATGTATGTTCTCGCTAACGCAATCGTTCAGGTAACTCTCAAAAGGACCACCGCAACCAGCCCAAGGTCTTGCGTACCCTTGAGGAGCAGCTCCGGCAGGGCGAGCGCGGCATCATCGGCGTGATGGTTGAGTCCAACATCAAGGAGGGCAGCCAGAAGCCGGCCGCGCGTCTGGAAGGTTGTGAGAAGGGTGTCAGCATCACGGATGCTTGTATCGATTGGGAGACCACCGAGTCCTCACTGCGCTCGCTGGCCGATGCTGTGCGCGAGCGTCGGGCTCGTGTGGCGGCTGGGAAGCAGTGAGCGAGTGTTGTAGCCTGGTTTGTTTGGCGTATGGTGTCTTTTGTCCTTCAATAGTAATATATAATCAAGATTGTCAGAATTGAATCGTTTGTCCTCAAATTGATCTCGTGGTAGTGGTGATTTTTACATGCTGCAGCGAAATGGATGAGCCGGGTAAATATTCATGTCGAGGAAGCAGTCGCCGCATGGACTTATTATCAGTGTAGACATGCTGATCGGGCATGAATCGTGCGGTCTCGAGTTACTCTGGCCAAGCCCGTTGACTTGAAATTGTTCGTACCTCGAAAAGCCTCATCAAAGCCAGCGAAGACAGTCAGATTGCAGCTAGTACGGACACAATAATTCGCAGCTGGTGATGTCGACTGGTCATGCCTCTCAGAAGGGGCGTCGGTATCACACCCAACCAACGACCCGGCACCAGAACTTCATCTCTTTATACCATCGAAGCACCATTTGATATAGCCACGAAACAAGATCTTAAGCATCGCATGCGTCATAGCCTAACGTCTACGTACATTATATGGATCCTAACGCCTACGTGGATAAATCCAAGCTAGATCTACAGTCACAGTGGATAGAGACGGGAAGAGTGCAATGGTATGACATGCCCTATCTAACGAGGGATAACCTATTGACTAGAATTTCCAATCCACCGGAGCAAGTAATTCCTCGGCAAGTCCTCCTCGGCAAGTCCTCCTCGGCAAGCCCCAATTCGTTCCCCGGTGCCCTGCTTTCTCTTCCGAGCGATCTTCAGCCACACGATAGCAGATGGGAGGGAGGGCAGAAGGACGCGGTCCCGACCGCTTGGGTCCACCCTTCGCTGAACCCTCGGGAGTCCGTGGTAGCTCTCGGCCGGAGCTGACGATCGTCTAGCAGAGCCGGATCAGCGAGATGTTGTTGTTGACCTCGCCGTCATTGACGGGGTCCACGTCGCCATCGGAGGTCAACGGTTCGTCGTTGTCGCGCTGATCGGTTAGCCATGAGTTGTTGATGTAGATAGGCAACTCCATATCGGGAAGGGAGTGGGTTTACCTTTTCTTTCTGATCGCGGGAGTATGCGTTAATGCTGTTTCTGATGGGCCGGATGTGGGGTTTCCTTACACACTGGCTGGGTTAGTAGGATCTTACTGTGGTGGGTGGGATACGTACAAACTATGTTAAGGAACATGCACTCAGCATCAGCCATTCCTTGTCAGTATGACTTGGGACTTACGCTCTGCTTTTTTTGTTAGTGTGGATCTCATCCTAACTCTTAATGTTGATTCGGACCTACCAGCTAATTACCAAGAGAGGGTAAGGGTTAGCACGTGCAAATATCAAAGCTATTCGATTGGGGCACTCACAAGCTGGATGATATTAGCAGATGCAAATAAGCTGTGGGGAGAGACTTACGCTCTGCATTGTTATGGAAAAGTAAGGATGAGATAATCAGCTGTTTGATAGGACAGGAAATACTCACAACCTAAGCATAATTAGCGGAAAAAATTGCACTGTGGAAGGTCAACTTACGTTCTGTTCTCCGTCTCAGTTTCGATACTCCATCAGCCATTGGAGTGAAGATTTTGAGGAAACTCACATTCTGGGTACATTAGCTTGGCATGAGTCTAGAATGGAGGGGTAAACTCACGTTCTGATGACAGGGAAAGATCCACGTCAATGGAGGTCAACCAATACCAGGCAAAAGAGTACATACCACCTGTCGGTGTCAGTCACGTCAAAGAGCAAGAATAGGTCAAACTTACAGTCTACAAGCCAGCAAGTGCCAAGATCAGCAGCCGGATCTTAGATCAAGTCGACACAAGGGTACTCACGCCCTGTGTATATTAGCAGCTTCCAATGGCATAGGTCAAAGGATGATTGGCGTACATTCTAAACAATAGTTAGCGGAAGGATCAGTACGGTGCACCGCAAGAAGAGAGACTCACATTCTATCCCAGCAATCAGTCTTACACTGCACGGTCAACAAAGCTATACCAGATCAAGAACAACATACAACCTAAGCAACCCGTTGGTATCAGCATTTCCCAAACTGGTAGGTGAACTTACAGGCTTGAGACGGGCGAATCACACAATCGTCAGCACGCGCATTGAACGAATATTACCACCGCAGTGGAGCCTGATACATACATCCTGCGCGTCTTGTCAGCCCCTCCGGCCCCTCGAGACACACTCAAATATGCACCAGGGTTGACTTACCACTTCACCATTCTATGCAGTAATGATGAGCAAAGTGTTAGTTTGAGCAGACCCATCCTAGTTCCAGATTGACGCAGCCCAGCGATCCTTACCTCAGTCAATTCTCTTCGGACAATGAGCGGGTGCGTCGGAGGCATGGGAGCGGCCATGCAGCCGACGAGGAGGGCAGTGGACCAGAGTGCGAAGCGCATAATGATGGTAATGAAGCAAAGATGGTGGATAAGTGAGACAAAACAAAGAGTGTATCAGTGGGAATGGAGCTCAAGAGTCAGTTGAAGTGTTCGAATCAACAAATTAGGAAGACAGAGAGAGAAAAAGAGGGTCAAGTGATGAGGCAAGGAGAGGAAGAGAGTGGAAGAGGGGAGGGAGGGAAGGAGAAAGAGAGGTCAGAGGAAGGAAGAAGCAGGTGGTGACAATTACGGGAGGCGAAGAGCCAGACAAGGGAAAGAAAGCCAAGGCAGATTGACTGGGGCAGCTTTGGTGAACTCCTCTCCTGGACTCTGGAGAGTGGAGTGAGAGTCAAACGAACCGGTTTGCCGGTGCTCTTTCCCGGGCTCCACACTTTAGTCTTCCAGTACCGACGATCAGCGGATCGATCGACAGGACCCAGCGGCAGAAGTCAGGATCGAGAGGCGGGAATGCGGAAGAGAATGATGATTCCATGGCCAGTCAGGGTCCTTGACATTGCCAGACTTTGCTGTTTACCAGTTAGGGCAAGACGTGGCCAGAACCCTGACATCACCGACGGGGCTCCACCACGATGTTGTTTCATCTCGAGATCACTGATGCACAAACCATTAATTTATTCATGTTCATCTACCTTTACTGGGTTGACTCATGGACTACAAGGCTTGATGATATCTACAACACTCATAAGATGCGGTCGCATTCGAACAACACTCGTATTCTTCTATCTGCAATGCAGTACAAGAGATGCTCTCACGCAGCAGCGAGTCAGGTGTCTCCACACTGGCGATACAGCATATCCACCAGCTCGACGATCGATGGATCTCGGCCTCGAGGTGATCTTCCCCAGATACAGTAGGTGGGACTGATCGGATCAGGGTCAACGCAACCATGTTTCCTGAATCCCGATTGAAACAGGGCTCCAGCGGAGGGCCTGAGAAAGAGCTGTCCAAGCCTAATGACGTGGAAATTTTACTTGACATACACATAGGAATACGACCAGATCCAGGATATAGCATATCAATATCAAGTTCGGTCGCCGAAAGGCTGCATAGGGCAGATATCAGCGGGCAAGGACCGGTAAAACACCAGGCATATAGATGCAGCGTGCCATGATCCTCGCGGTGCAGAAGTCAACTCCGGGAGCAGGTAGAGACCTTTTTTCTTTTTTTTTTTTTTTTTTTTTTTTTTTTTTTTTTTTTTTGGTTTTTCCATGTCGGGGATATATTTTCTTTTTCCCGTTTTCGTTTTTCCTTTCTTTCCTTCTTTTCCCATGCTTATTCTTTCCAAATTGCCGCCGATCGTCTCAGGTCAACAGCGGGTCGGCAAAATCAAATCGATCGGGAATCGAGCGGTTCATCGTCAAACAACCAAGATTACATATCCATGATCTATAAAACACAAAATCATCTATGTACAAACATCTCAAAGCGAAGACGTACAAAGCCCAAAGTATACACAACGAAATGTAATTACCCCCCAAAATCTACACCCACTGCGTCACACGCAACCACACCTCCCTGCCATGTCTGGCTGCCAAATATGCCACCGCAATGCCCAGCCCGTAGCATGTCATCTTTTTCAAAAACCTCCCAAACGCGCTCCGTACCACCGCGGCAGACTTCTTCTGAAAGATCGCCTTCTCGTTGGCGCGCGGGAAGGGCGTGGCCGGGACATCCTTCCCCAAGAAGCTACAGAGGGGCACCCAGCCCTCAGCAGGGTTCCACTCGAGCAGACGATCGCGCGGCACGACGCTTCGGACGCGATCGTAATGCTCGCGGAAGGCCTGCTTGCCATTGCGGGCGAAGTCGCCGGCGAACATCGCGTCGAACCCCAGGCGGCACATGCGGTTGCCCGCCCCGAACTTCTCGGGGTCGATCCACCCCAGCAGCGTCGCGAGGGGGCTGTAGGTCTGCGCCATGATGGTCTGCTGCATCGAGGCGTACCAGGCGTCGACATCGCGCAGCGTCAGCACCACTTTCGCGTCCGGGTAGGCGGCGACCAGCTCCTCGACGAAGATGGCGGCCGGGAAATCCGTGACGGCTTCGACGTGGCCTAAGAGCTGGTCCCAGTCGGCGCGCGTGAAGGGGCGGCCGTCGTGGTATTTCCCGCGGAAGGCCTCGGCCCACAGCACCGCGTCCTTGGGGTTCTGCATGATCGAGGTCATGTGGTAGGTCTCGTAGCCGAGTTCTTGGAGCGCGAGCCATGTTGCTGGGAGGTTATTAGTGTTTGTTGGGAGGGAATAGTGTCGCAGGGGAGTGCGAAAGCAACCGTGCATTGGCGCTGGGAGAGTGGCGACGTACACAATGTTCCTGTACGGCAGAGTCCAAGCACAAGGACCTGCATCGGCTTCACACGACGGCAGGTTCGTCGATCGATGTTAGTTTGCACCAGCACACTTTCGGTATCCTTCATGGTGACGGAAATCCAGCACAACAATACAACAACAACAATAATCAAAGGAGTGACAGGGATGGAACAACCTCGACCAGACCTATTCCCCTCGAAGAGTGCCAGCGTTGTACTACTTATTTTGCCTGTCTATACGGATCATCTCTACAGACTCCATTTCTGCGCTTGGCACGTTCCCAAACCACACTGCACAGGGTGCGATAATCTTGAACCCCTTGCAGAGCCCTGAGACCCTCAGCGGAGAGTAGGTTCCGAGCACTGCCGGAGAAGTGGGCTTTGTGTCGAGACACTAGATATCTGAAAAGTATTGAGTACCGGTGGTTGATTTGATATGAAGGCTGGCAGGGAGTGCAGCGCAGGGTCCAGGAGATTGTGGGTTTTGTGTCGATCGTCGGTTGAGTGTACGCATCTGTACAGGAAACCCACGATATCCAGAAATAGCAGAACTGTGATTGACGACGAAGAGTTTGGCGGAATTGTTTCGGAAGGGGATTTTACTCTTGAGAAAAAAAAAAGAGTGGAGCTTCCAAGCCGCAGCGGGTGACGAATATCATCTTCCCGATCGGGAAAAAGCAGCATGTTCCGAGCCCACGGTACTTCCCGATCTATGCCCGAGACTCTTCCATGGATGCTGTCTGTTCCTTCATCTACACCAACATCAAAAACAAACTTGCAGCGAAGACCCTCTCATCTCAATCCTGAGCCGTCATAGAATCATTATTATAGCATACGATGAGCATTGCATCCAAAAGCCAGCTATCCGTCAATGCAACCAGCTGATTTCCTTGAATCAGTGCCGAAAACTCGGCATATCTCTAGCGTATACTGAGGACTTGGCACCTTGCAGAAAGAACTACTCAAACAGTAATCTACGCGACCCTGTTGGAAGCTGAGCAGAAGTCCAAGCTTCTCCCCTGCCAGTAAAATTGAGCTCATGAGCCATGAGCCATGAGCCATGAACCATGACGTAAACCAAGCCAAGGCCACGATGAGATCCACAGTGGGTCGATGAGCAAGATGAGGAAACTCTATCTAATCGCTTACCGTCACCGTCACGGTCATGACTGTATCAAAACACAAGCTGCCAGCTGCCATACTAGCCCTTACAGCTATTGCAGCTCTGAACACGTCTAGCCACTTCTTCACACTGTCACGCAATGCTACAGCGGAGACAGGAGATCAGAGCCAGTCCCGGCTTAGACTGACCCCGAGGCAATGAATGGACCCCAAGGTTGATCCTCAGGGACAGCAGCACACTCAGCTCAGTACTGGGTGTCCACGCACAAGAGGGGATCAAGCCGGAAGCATAGCCGGATCTGGAAAAGAGAGAAAGAGTCTGTCCTGTCAGTTAGTGAGTGAGTGACCTAGCAATTGCAAATTGCCAGGCACGAGACAAGAATCTCACTCGAGAGCTCCGAACTGCGAAGCTCAAGCTTGCTTATCCTTCCCAACTTTTCTTCTCGATCACAATTGCTCTCGCGAACTTACCTCCCTGCATGATCACATCAACCTCTGTCGTTCCAAACCCGCGCAATTCACCACCTCTAGCTATATGTAATCAGCAAGTGCGACTTGCCAAATACCCCTCATTCGTTCTAATCACTGCCCTTACTCTCACTTGACGCGCGCAGTCATGTTGCAGATCGTGCCTGGTGCCTTCGACGCAGCACTCTGCCACTTCCCGACCGAGAATCTCCAGCACAATGCGCCGGAGTTCCAGTCAATCCCAGTGCGCGCGGGCGCATGCTCCACCGAGGCTGTGTTGGAAGCTTGGACGGTCGTACTACGATACTACACGGGGAGTGATGTCCTCTCCTTTGGATTGGCGGACAGCACGGTGGCCGATACCTTGTGGTTCGCAGTGTGCCACGGTGAGATCCCTGGCGACACTGCTCTGGCGCAGCTTCAGCCGTCGGTCCAACAGCCCGCGCAGGATGTACCGACCGTCCAGAATTTCAAGGACTGGGCGGCCTTGAGCAGATCATTCAATACGCTTATCTGGAAGTCGACGCAAACTCAGGAACCACACTTTGCGCAAGTCGATCCCTTTGATGTAAGCCAACCCACTCCTCGAATCATCACTCGATCTTCCCTGCTGACCGGTCAGTTTCCCCTTATACTCTCAGTCACCGATGCGACAGAAGAGCTCCAAGTGACCCTTCATTATGCCGCCCAGGCTATCGGCGACAGCATCGCAGCTGCAGTTGCGGAAGCGGTTGCGAAAGCGACAGCGGCCATCCGCGACGAACCCTACACCACAATCGGAGAGGTAGACCTTCTTGGACCGTCCTCGTGGGCGCGATTCCAGGAGCTGAATGCGACGGTGTCTCCGACCATCGAGACCTGTCTGCATGAACAGATCGACGAAGCGGCGAAGCAGTATCCGAATCGCACGGCGCTGGAATGCTGGGATGGGTCCGTATCGTATTCGGAACTGGTAGACTACACTGCGCGACTGGGCAACTTCCTCATCTCCCAGAACGTTGGACCAGAGGTGTTCGTGCCCGTCTGCTTCGACAAGTCCCTCTGGGCCGTAGTCTCCATGTTGGGAGTTCTCAAGGCCGGCGGTGCATTCGTCTGCATCGACCCTGCCCAGCCGATAGACCGTCTCAGGACAATCATAAGCGAAGTAGAAGCCAGCCTGGTACTCACGACGCCGGGCTATGTGAACATGGTGTCGCCGAATGTGTCCCATGTCACCGCGGTGGACGCAGACTTCATTCAAAACCTACCCCCCTGCCTCGAACTCCCTAAGCGCGCCAGCCCGCACGATGCAGCCTTCGCAATTTTCACCTCCGGTAGTACCGGAAAACCCAAGGGGATCGTACACGAACATCGCGCGGTGTGCTCTAGTGTCAGTGCACACAGTGAACCGCTAAACATCAACAGCGACACCCGGACATTCCAATTCGCAGCTTATACGTTCATCGTGAACACCTTCGAGCTGTTCACCCCGCTGGTTAAGGGTGGCTGTGTCTGCGTCCCCTCCAAGGAGGACCGGCTGGGTCGGACAACAGCGGCGATGCGTGAACTCCGAGCCAACTGGTTTTGCACGACGCCCTCCTTCCTACGATCCATCAAACCGGAAGACGTTCCGGATATCAAGACGCTACTCCTGGCCGGTGAGCCAGTCCAGCAGGATAACCTTGACACGTGGCGCAGTCGAGTGCGGATGTTGAACATGTACGGGGCAAGCGAAGCGTCCGTCTGCGTGACGGGAGATCTTTCGGGGTCCGTCGAGCGCTCAACGATCGGTCGGGGCACAGGTGTCGCTGCTTGGGTCGCCGACATCAACAATCACGATCGGCTGGCTCCGCTCGGTGCGACCGGTGAACTGGTGGTCGAAGGTCCAGTGCTAGCACGAGAGTACATCCACCAACCGGAGAAGACGGCTTCTGTCTTTATTTCGAACACCCAATGGCTGAAGGATATTCGGGGCGCGTCGTCGCCCGATCGGGCTTACAAGACTGGTGACTTGGTGCGACTGGGAAGCAATGGCCAGATCAACCTGGTCGGACGCAAAGATATGCAGGTGAAATTGCGCGGCCAGCGTATCGAGCTGGAGGAGGTCGAATTCCACCTGCGCCAAGCTTTGCCCCGCGGTACAGAGGCAGCAGTAGGCCTTGTAAAGCCGGTCGACCAGCAGGACCGACCCATGCTGGCGGCTTTCGTGGCACTCAGAAAGGGATTCGACGATAACTTTCGGACTCCCGACCCGGCATCAGCGGAGGATCTCGAGGCGTTGACCCAGGGCTGGAAGAGCAAACTCTCTGCTGCTGTTCCCGCGTACATGGTTCCTTCGACAATGGTCAAGCTGAACCATATGCCGCTATCCCCATCCGGCAAAACCAACCGCAAGGCGATCAGTGAATTCGCCTCACAGTTGACTGTTGCCCAGCTGACAAGTGCCACTAAGAAGGATCACCGGGAGCCTGCCACCGAGACTGGCTTTGCGCTTCGCAAAGTCTGGGCCGAAGTCTTGCAGGTTGAGGAGGAGTCGATTTCAGCAGACGATGACTTTCTGCAGCTGGGTGGCAACTCCATCGATGCCATGAAAGTCGTGAACCTTTGCGGGTGTGAAAATATTGGATTGAGCGTGGCAGATGTCTTCACCCATCCGACTCTGGACGATATGGCAGAAGCTTCCATTCTGCTCGACAGCATCCAGCCGTTTGAGGATGTACCGTTCTCCTTGCTTAACACCAGCGAAGATCTCAACAGCGTGCTCGACGCTGCAGCCGAGCAGTGTCGCGTCGACAAATCAGCTATCGAAGACCTGTACCCTTGCACCGCGATGCAGGAAGGTCTGATGGCGCTCTCGGATAGTCGCAATGGAGTGTACATGGCGCAGCACACTCTTGCTCTCGGACCGAACATTGACCTGGAACGATTCAAGCAAGCATGCCAGGACGTAGTCACCGCACACCCCATCCTGCGGACGCGCATCATCTACCGGCAGCAGTCGGTATCGCTACAGGCTGTGATCCAGGAAAATGTTGACTGGCGTACTGGAGAAAGCCTCGAGGAGTACTTGGCCAATGATAAAAAGCAGCCTATGGGGGCAGGAGATGTTTTGACCCGCTACGGCCTTGCTCCTGGGGAGCACGGATGGATCTTCGTATGGACCGCTCACCACGCTGTCTACGACGCCTGGACACTAGATCTTGTCTTTGAACGGATTGACAAGGCATACAAGGGTCAGCGGCCGACTCGAGATGCGACCTTCAAGGCATTCATGAACCACGTGGTCCAGACCGACACCAAAGACTCCACCGATTTCTGGCAACACTACCTCGCTGGCGCGATTCGGAACGAGTTCCCGTGCACTGTCTCTACCGCAAAGCAGCCGGTGTCGGACTCCACTTCGATCTACGAGATGACTCTTCCTCGCACAGACAACCTGCCGGGAATCACGATGGCGTCGATGATTCGTGCAGCCTGGGGGATTCTGATCGGGTCCCATTCCGAGTCCGAGGATGTGGTGTTCGGAAACATTGTTTCTGGTCGAAATGCTCCTGTGCTGGACATCGATCGTCTGGTCGGTCCGGGGATTGCTGCCGTCCCAGTGCGAGTCAAGGTTCCAGGCGATGCTAGCACTACAGTTAAAGAGTTTGTCGGCAACCTGCAGGCTCAGGCCGCTAGGATGATCGCCTTCGAGCAACTGGGACTGCAGAACATCGGTCGGTTGAGCACGGAGGCAGCCAGTGCTTGTGACTTCCAGACGCTGCTTGTTGTCCAGCCCGCCAAGGAAAAGCCGGCAACTGTTGAAGAGCCAGACCTGACAGCTGTATCCGACGCCGATGCCAACTTCGGAACATACGCCCTCACTTTGGAATGCACCTTGCAGGCCCAGGGAGTAAGGTGTGCCGCTCACTTCGACTCCAGTCTCATCGCAGCCGACTACGTCCAGCGGATCCTTGCTCAGTTGGAACACCTCCTCCAGCAGTTCTGCGCCTCAAATGCAGAGACCAAGTTGGACGATCTCACCTTCATCAGTGCTAAGGATGAGGAGAGCATCCGGCAATGGAACCAAAACATTCCGGCCCCGGTCCATAAGACCATTCATCAGTTGATCGAAGAGCGTATCACCGAGCAGACTAGCAAAGAAGCTGTCTGCTCGTGGGATGGTTCCTTCTCCTATGCCGACTTGGACAAGCACTCTGCCCGCTTGGCACATCGCCTTGCTGAGCTCAACGTCCAGCCTGAAGACTTTGTGCCTTGTTGTTTCGAGAAGAGCCGGTGGCCCGTCGCTGCTATGCTGGGTGTCATGCGTGCTGGTGGTGCCTTCTTGAACATCGATCCGTCACAGCCTAAGAGTCGTATCCAGCTCATGATCACCAAATTGAAGGCCAAGACTATTGTATGCTCGCCCGAGCAACACGAGTTGTGTCTATCTCTGGGACCCGAATACAATGTAGTAGTTTTGTCTGCAGACACACCGGAAGAGCCTGCAACCAGTGGTCTCCCTGCGACGAGTGTCACCCCTCAGAATTCTGCCTACGTTATTTTCACATCTGGAAGTACGGGAGAACCTAAGGGTACGGTGATCCAACACGGTGCATACGCCTCCGCATCCACAACTCATGCATCGACGATGCTGATGAATAATTCGACTCGCGCGTTGCAATTTGCTTCGTTCACTTTCGACGCTAGCTTGGTCGAAATTCTCACAACGCTAGTTGTCGGCGGTTGCGTGTGCGTGGCGTCCGAAGAGCAGCGCAAGCGCGATGTGACGGAGGCAATCCGGGAGACCAACTGCAACTGGGCCGCTTTGACCCCCTCTTTTGTGAACCTCATCAACCCTGATGATGTTCCGTCACTAGAGACACTGATTCTGGCTGGTGAAGCTATGTCTCAATCGCACATCGAGACCTGGGCCCATCGACTTCGATTGGTCAACGCTTATGGCCCTAGTGAATGCTGTGTGTGCAGCACGAGTAACTTTGAGATCACCAGCCAGTCAAGCCCAAGGAACATTGGGCGGGCATGCTCAGGTGCCACCTGGGTTGTCATGCCCGACAATCACCATAGACTAGTGCCGGTAGGAAGCGTTGGAGAGCTCGTTATGGAAGGATGGAACGTGGGTCGTGGATATCTCGCAGAGCCAGCCAAGACACAGGCTGCTTTCGTTGAGAACCCAAGGTGGCTCAACAAGCAAGATGCTTCACGGCCTCCTGTGGTGTACAAGACTGGTGATCTTGTGCGCTATAATCCCGACGGTACATTGAGCTTCCAGCGGCGCAAGGACACTCAGGTGAAGCTGCGTGGTCAGCGTATCGAACTGGGAGAAATCGAGTATCGCATCAAGCAGAGCCTGCCGAATAAACCGGATGCCGTCGTTGACATCCTTTCCTCCAAGGACGCTTCTAGCCAGCCTCGCTTGGTAGCATTCCTCCCTGTTCCCATTGAAGAAGTTTCCTCTTCTACCATCATTATCCCTCCACCAAGCGACCGTCATATGACAGCGGTGTCCGGGCTAGAGGACCGGCTGGCCGACTTCCTGCCAATGCACATGATTCCCAGTGCCTACCTTCCAGTGAACTACATTCCCAGGCTACCATCTGGCAAGGCAGACCGCAAGACACTGATCCGGTGCGGTAGCGAGATGACTCAAAGACAGATGGCCGAATACACCGGATCAACTGAGGAGGCGCGACCCCCGACTACGGAGATGCAGCTTGCCTTGCAGCAACTATGGGTCGAGGTTCTCAAGACATCGGCCGCGCAGATCAGTCTCAATGACAACTTCCTTCGGCTGGGAGGTGATTCGATCACGGCCATGCGACTAGCGTCCGCGGCTCGTGCCCAAGGCATCCCTCTCTCGACTGCCACCGTCTTTCAGCACCCGACTCTGGAGGCGATGAGTACCGTAGCGGAAACGCTGTCGCATCAACAGCGACCCCAGACATTTGAACCTTTCTCAACGCTCAAGTCCTTCACCAAGGACAAGTTGTTGGACGATATTGTGCTGCCGCAAGTAGACTTTCCTGCCTTCAACATCGAAGACGTGCTTGAGGTCACCGACTTTCAGTCGCTTGCTATTGGCGGTGGGCTGAACAAGACTCGCGGCTGGAGCAATTACCTTGTGTTCAATTTTACCGGGCCGATTGACCTGCGACGCTTGCAGACGGCCTGCGAGGAGCTGCTGAAGCACCACGCAATCCTTCGCACGGTGTTTGTGAAGACCGACTCGCAACTATTGCAAGTCGTGCTGCGGTCGGTGACTCCCGAATACACGTTCCATATCCAGGATGATCAAGACCCATCCGAAATACTTGTTCGTGAAGATCTTGCTCGCCCGCCACGTCTAGGCGAGCCCATTGTCCGATTTATGGTGATCAAGAATGGAGCGATTCGACACCGTCTCATCATGCGCATCTCTCACGGGCAATACGACGGCTCCTCCATGCCACTCTTGATGCAAGACCTCCGCAATGCCTACAGAAGCGAGTCTCTTGTGAAGCGACCCCAGTTTGCCGATTTCGTGCGCATGCAGTTACTCGCCAATGAGGGCGCCGAGGCCTTCTACCGACGGATGTTGGCTGGATCCGCGATGACCGCGGTGGTCGAACACACCAAGCCATCCATCACCAACGTGCTCAACACAATGATTGTGGACATGGTCCCCTTGGTCGCATACAAGGACCACGGGATCACCGCCGCTACGGTGATCAAAGCAGCGTGGGCGATGGTGCTGGGGGAGTTGGCAGCCACAGCGGACGTGGTCTATGGCCACATGGTGTCGGGTCGCAACCTTGCCCTGGACAACGTCGAGTCCGTCATGGGACCGTGTCTGAACATCGTGCCCGTCCGAGTGGACATGACCGCTGTGCGTACGGTCCTCGAGCTGCTGCGGATGATCCAGCAACAGCAGACCGACACAATTCCGCACGAGAGCCTCGGGTTCCAGCACATTATCGACCAGTGTACCGATTGGCCTGCCGCGACGCGATTCAGTTCGGTCTTCCAGTACCAAGAGTTTGGAGCGGAAGAGGATCCCACGCAGCCGGTCTCGATAGAAGGGACCTTGAAATGTGCCCCCGGATTCATCTGCCCTGCCCCCGATGCTTGTGATTTGTCAATTCTAGCCACCCCGGTGGGCTCACAGGTGCGGATCGAGATGATCTTTTCGACTCATGCCATGTCGCAGTCATTCGCGGAGGAGACATTGAAGAAGCTGTGCGCCAAGGTGGAGGCGATCGCGCGCCAAGATGTCAACACGCCGCTGCCGTCGCAGGAGCAGCTCGCGTCGCGACAAGCGGTCATCCCGTTACCTGAGCCGGGAAAGAGTATGGCAGATGGGCTCGTCAATGGGATTGTAAAGCAAATGGTAAATGGAATCAATGCGATGGGTGAGATGAGCGGATTGAATGGGAAGGTAGAGGGGGGAAGTGAGGCAGAAGAAGGAGAAGGAGGAGCGGCTGATCACGAGATCAGCTTGTTGGCCTCAGTGCCTATAAATTAAGGCATCCAGCTCTAACCGCCGTCTTTATACATCTGTACTCCGTATAATATCAAATAACTCTATTTTCCTAGAACTATGACCCTCCACATAGTCTCCTATATACCAGGCACTGACCCGAGAACTGCTGATCCAGAGATCTCATAGACTCGTGCAGCCAACAAACGCTTCAAGCAGTCAACGATGTAGTACAAAACACCCACCCTTGCGACTTCATCAAGCCAGTCACAGTAAATGCACCCTTCTCCATGCTTCCACAATGTCACATCGTCACCACCATCACCCTTCAAAGCCACAGTGCCCTACCAACAGACTTCTTTTGAGCATTCTCTCACCCTACTACACCGCCACAACAAGCCTTTCCGCCCCAACAATGCTAAATGTAACACCATCTAACACCCCTTGCATTCCTTCACCCACAATGAGATCGGCTGATACTGGGACCCCGATCCCTTCCCCAGATGATAGATCTCCCTGATTTGGCCCGAGTTGGGATCCACCCCGAAGGCACTGCTCTTCCCGTTGACCGTCAGGTAATTCTGATTGTCGACCCCGAATCCCGCCACGACGGCACCGCTGGGCGCGTCGGCGTTGGGGCTCGTCAGCGTCACGGGCGCATCCGTACTCCCCATGACGTAGAAGTGTTGCACGCCAGCAGAGGACCGGTGCTGCGCTGCTCCGGTGATTTTGCTGTTGTTGTTGCCTCCTCTCACTGTTCCTCAATCCACATGCTTAGTAGTTGGGACGGATAAGGTAAAGATTGAGTGGATGGAGCTCACAGATCAGGATGGGGTAGTTGTCGATGTCTCCGGTACCAATGAAGGCATGAGCTAAGGCGATGTCAGGTCAAGAGCGAATATCTCAGATGGGGGTAAACGGGGGAATAGAGGACATACTTCCGTCGGTAACTACAGTCCAGCCTCCATCTGCGACAAGAGTATACGCAGAGGGAAAGGGAAGAGCTGCGGCGCCAGCTGCGAGTGCGGACACGACAGCCGCAATGGAAGTTTTCATGGCGATGTTAATGAGGGCTCCGCCTAAGCAAGAGGTCAAGGCAAGTGCAAGAGACCAGGAATGATGGGCGGTTTTATAATGGGTCGGGTGGCCAATGCTTGTGGCCGTGCCTTCTGCGTCAGTCTGCATCATGATGTTATTCATAGTCTGGGCAGGTGCGAGAGCGCCTCTGTCTTACCTGCCTGAGAGTAGCTGCAGGGATTGGATCAAGGTCCGGCCTTTAGATTTGTTCCAGATGAGACTACCTTGGACGAACTGATCTTTGTTCTGCCGTTGGAATTGACTTTTGTCCACCCTTGACTTTTCGCAGACGTAAAGACCGGCTCTTATATCTCGAACCTGGCTCGGGACTTCCGAATTGGAGACCTTGTCTTTGTGCTGGTAGAAGTCGAGAAGGGCTGATTTTTGGAGCATTGTGCAACCCCCTTGAGCCACGGTATGGACGATCCCTGTGGCGTTGAAGACCGGCTGTCGATCTTCTGACTGAGATTTCGGGCAGCCAAAGTATTGGACCGCCATCCACCACTCTACTCTCACGCTTACAGACACCTCTTAAGACTCGCGGGAGACTCTAATACAGAATTCTTTTCGTCATGAGTTGCGAGCTCCGAGAATGCGACCACGACTCGTAGTCCTTGCATATGCTCCAATATAGAGAAGACTGCATGACTGAAGGGTGCAGACTGTTAGTTGTGTGGCGAGTGTGACTATCGCCTGTAACAGAAGTGAAAAATATCACATGTGAGTATCTGTCTACGGGAACCAAACCATGACTTACTATGTTTTCCAGCATGGATGCATCTCCGAGGACACAGAGGCCTGCACAGACCGTTGTGCATTATGATGGAAAATGCTGAGTCATCTGTACAAGCATAAAGTCTTCTCCCCGTTGTAGTATCCTAACTACTTGCCTCACTACAACCATGGATTACTAGGTTCTATCGGGTTTTAGCATTGGAAATATTGCCATTAATCATTCATCAGGCATTCTAAAGCACCTATAATCACTATCGATGTTCCATCACCAACAACTTTAAAGAGCAGCAGACTGGGATATATATAGTTCCTTCATCTTGTACACACGCATTGGATATCAAGAAGTCTGCTGTTCTCTCCGCTAGTACATCGTACACGGTCAACATCACAGATACACAAGTTTGTGGTCCCATACACTCGTAGCATGTTCTTTCATCGCCTCTCTTTCAGAAGCATTGCCACAGTACCACAGGAGTTTTAAGTTGTGGTCGCTGTATCGCGGAGATAACTTTATCTTTTAAGAAAACTTGATATCGGCCAGAAAAGCGTCAGGTCTAGCAGTATAAAGCTGAAACGATGAAAATTCATTAAGGGAAAGTACATAAGCATTTCTAGATACCTTCACCTGCTGCGAACCTGCTGCATGTGTATCCAACAAGTATAACCGTCGTCATCGGGGAACAACAGCTCTCTACGCAAACTAGTTGAAGAGAGAAAGAGAGAGATTAGCCCGTGCCTTCCATAGTATATACATATAAATAACAGTTGACGTTGAGAACGGTTTCGGGGCTATCGCGTGGCAGTACATTGCGATATGACTTCCCCGTAATTCCACGCATCCCCGCACTAACAAAGGGCGCCTTCCCGCATCGGGACCCCGCTGGAAAATGTTTCTGCGGGTAACATATAAAGCCCACCCGCCTTCCCCTTGCAGCCACTCCCCCTTCACTACTTATCGTGACTGTTCTGCCCATCCATACCTCGGACGCAAAATGTCATACCCTGAGTTCCACGAACGCCACCGCACCTTCGCCTTCCACGACACCGACGGCACCCCAGTGTACGAGGATGGGTGGGGAGCGCTCTGCGGCCGCATCGTGGCGCGAAACGACCTCGCAGCTCTCCGACTCTATCACGCATCGCCCAACACGCGGGTGTTCTGGGAAGGTTACGAAGCCCCCTACTGGCATCCCTTTTTTGTGGCAGCCGGATCCGGTAGCTGGGAGGCCCTTCGCGCCCTCATCGAGATCTACCTAACGGATCCAACGTATAATAACCCTGATCAGCCGCCGCTAGACCAATACCTAACGCAGCTGGACTTCTCGCCCATCAACGAGGCGTGTGCTGCTGCGAATCGGGAGATGGTGCTCTGGCTTCTGCAGCACGATCCCCCGTTGGCGACGCTGCAGGACCGGAATGCCCGCGGCCACACGCCGCTGTTCAGCGCTGCCAGTGGGCTTAGGCGGGGGGTGGGCTTTGCGGAGCATGAGGAGTTCATTCACTTTCTACTAGACCAGGGATGTTCGGCTCGGGATTCGGATGTTTTTCATAATGGACAGGAGGACGAGCAAGAGAGACGCGGCGATGATGGCAATGCTAGTGAGCCATCGCAGTCTGCGAAAGAGCTGCAAGAGACCATGCTCGGAGCCGCAATACCGCATGCTAGCTACCAGTTAACCTCGCGGCTGATCGCAGAAGGCGCAGACGTGCATGCCCGGCAGAGCTGGGGTGATCCTACCCTGTGGATGACTGATGAGGGTGTCATGGGACGCAGCAGAGAAGTCACCGCCTTACATATCGCTAGCGTGTACCGAAATCTCGAGGGGATTCGTGCGCTGGTGGACCATCGCGGCGAGGGGGTGAGTGTGGCGGAAATGATTTCCCGCAAGGACGATCAGGGCCGGATTCCCCTACACTGGGCTTTGATGGGCACGCCGGACGACAAGCCTCGAAAAGTGAACAAGGATGATGACACAGATGATGAATTGGCGCATGAAGAGAAGATACCCTCCGAACGGTTGGCTGAGACCGTCAAATACCTTCTAGCAGTAGACCCTGAGACAATTAACGCCCGAGACCGGCTGGGGGCCACGGCATTTCATTATGCGGTGAGATCCCGGCACGCGGGACCCGCGAGCGTTCTGGCGGTGGTGGAGATGTTGCTGGATGCTGGACCGCTAGCGGCGACTTTGAAGTCTGTCCGCAACGACGAACGCGAGGGAGACACTTTCGAGCCTACAATTCTACAGGATGCAGTAGATGGCCATGGTATGCGATACGGGAAAGTCAACGATGCGCGGTTCACGCAATTGATCGAGATTTTGCTGGCCCACGGGGCCGATGCTCGGCTGTGTCTGCATCGCCTGTGTGCCCACGGTTGGACTGAGCACATTCCACGGGCAATGTTTGAGCGTCTACTGCAAGCTTCGCCAGACATAAACGCGACGGATGCTGATGGCTGTACGGCGATGCATTATCTCGTCAGAAAGATGGATCAGGTCGAGGCAGCTAGGTATCTGATCGCCTGTGGAGCGGAGGTGGACGTGGCTGACCAGCAGGGGAATACACCCCTCCACCAGGTGATGAAAGGGACACTCATCCGCAAGCTCGACGAACGTGGGCGCCCTGACCCCTCGCAGCCCAAGGATGCTCCGGTCCAAGCACGAAAGCAATGGATCGAAATGCTGGTGGAGGCAGGAGGCTCGATAGATCGACCCAATGCTTATGGAAAGACTCCTAAAAAGCTGCTGGAGGAGCTCACAGAGAGGTTAGAGCAAAGGCGGATGGCCGAGGCTACCCAAATTGGTCGAGGACGTGGACGCGGCGTAAGAGAAGGAGCGACAGATCCTCGCAAGGTTACTGGCTAGCTTTGACGTCCAGGCAGTGGATAGGAAACACTTGCAATGGGAGGAATTGCGCACGTTTTTGTTGATATAGAAGCTAATGCTGGAGGTGCGAGTACACCTGGCCCCGGATCATTAGTCTTTATTTGTAACTGTGCTGTTCAGCCACCATGTGGGGCCCTGGTCTATCCAATTACTTGATCATGCCTAGAAGCAGCTCGCTTAGCGCCTGTAGTTTGATGTCCGATCATTGTAAGTGGCCCCTGCCGCCAGCCAAAACCGGGAAGCCCACCCGATAAGCACTAAATTAAGGCCAGTGGGCTTGAGCGAAGCACGCGAAAATCTCATTCTTGCGCTAGCACGTCAGATTAGACGAGCATAGTGAGCTGGCTAAGGAGATTCGGAACTCAGCTCTGGCGGCAATGAATTCATCACTGTTTAAGAACTCCCACCCTTACATCCTGAGCTCCCAGTGTCAACTCCAGCTCATCATCTGATAATGGGTGCTCAGTTTTCGCAAATTTTCCCCTCCCCGCCCGACATTCACCCTGTCCGACGTTCCCTCGCAGCAGGGGAAAGTCGTCATTGTGACCGGCGGTGCATCCGGAATAGGACAGGAGCTGGTGCGCATGCTCTACGAGAAAGGGGCGACAGTCTACATCGCCGGCCGGTCCGAGTCGCACGCTCAGGCGGCCATCCAGACCATTCAAGTCAGCACCATCAGGACCACCTCCAACACCACTGGCGGCCAGCTGTACTATCTCCCTCTGCATCTAGACGATTTGACCACCATCAAATCCACCGTCAGCGCTTTCGCATCGCGGGAAAGTAGACTCGATCTGCTCGTCAACAACGCGGGCGTCTCCCAGCCCCCACTTGGAAGCGTGTCCGCGCAGGGAATCGAGCTGCAAATCGCCACCAACTGCCTCGGCCCCTACCTCCTGACGCAGCTCCTCCTCCCATTCCTCACCGCTGCGGTGACAGCCAACAACGAATTCTCCCCTGCACCGCGAGTGATCTGGACCAGCAGCCAGGTAGCCGAGCTCTCCGCGTCGCCGGAGGGGATCATCCTGTCCGAGCTCCGCGACCCGCCCCGCGATGCCGTCCGGAATTACGTCACCTCCAAACTGGGGAACTGGTTCCTCAGCGTGGAGTTCGCCCGCCGGTACCGAGACGCCGGGCTGGTCAGCGTCGCGCAAAATCCCGGGGCGGCGAATACCAATCTGCTGCGCAACGCGCGGTGGATGAAGCTGCTGTCGTGGCCCTTGCTGTATCCCCTGGGGTCGACTGCATCCCGGGGTGGCGCCGGACTTGGCCCGGCATTTGGCGCCGGCGGAGGAGGGCGGCACTGGGCGGGCGGGCGAGTTCTGGGAGTGGTGCGCGGAGCGGACGAGGGATTATTTGTGATGATACTGTTGGGAACCATAGAGCAATCTCCATGAAAGTGCATCGGTTGGGGTGCCTGGGTTGTTGGTTGATACACCTGCGCTTGGTTAGCTTAACCACAGACTCGGTGGGCCAGTGCTAGCGGGGGCACTTTGGCTGCCTTGAAGGTGTCGAGGAAGTAGATTGTTGGCGTTAGAATTCCCCTCAAGCGTGTGCTCAACTGCAGCTTCCTAGTAATGTAGGGCTAGGACCGTCATGTGCTTGGACCCATGTGACGACCAATGGTGGGAAGGAAGTGCCACGCGAGAGCATAGAGCCTAGAGTAAATTGATATTGTGCCCTGGATTGAGAAGGATGATGTTCTTGCTCACTAGTAGTCTGGGGATGTCAAAGTATTTGGGTAAAATGATATAGTGTGTACATTCCGTCAACGGTCGGCATCGATTCGTGGCGGGTCGTGATTGGTATCAACCTGTGCCTGAGGCCTCCAACCACCAATGCGATCAGCTTATCTACTCGGGACCGCTTTGATGAAGTGACTTACTGCACTGCTGGCTCTCTATCCTGCGGGCTGGGTCTACAGTGGCATCCAGTGTCATCTAGCCTGACGGAGTGGCAATCTAGATTTCAAACAAAAACCACAATCTTTAAATTCCATCTGAAAGCATCTCACAACGAGATGCGCTGCTCTCTATGTCATGAGAAAGAACCTAATTCCGCAATGCTGCATTCTAGACACCACATTTCGGGTACCCAAACACCTAAAAGAAAATACGACTCTGCCAGATGGTCGTGACCAACTCCCATCCCTTGGACATGGAATCAGAGTACATAGCGAAAATTCGGATTCTCCTTGTCCGTCAGATCGTCAAAGGCCAAGTCGTGATTCATATCCGGCGCAGCCTGGATCTTAAGGCGATTCCGGGCCAGCAATAACAACCATGTCCCCACCACCAGAACACCATAAACACCGTAGATCACGATGTGCGCCAGAAATCCATGCAGGTATCGGGGGGCATCGGCATTCTGGAAGATCTGCGGAGCCACCAGATTGCCGACCGCCCACCCGATAAAGATCATGGTCATGGTTATGCCTTTCTTGGTCTGTCCGCCGATATTACGTGTGACCAGAGAGATGATCAGGTTGCCCTCGGCCAGGAAGCACTGCGTGCAGTAGAAAGCGATGAGCATGCCCCCGCTGTTTGATGAGGACGGCGTCACGACGAGGATGCAGATGGTGCCTGCAATGGCAGGAAGTGCCCACAGCTGTCAGAGTAGTTTTGTCAATCTCAGCTGAGGGCTAACGATGGCGTACTTAGAGAAATGGCAAGCAAGACAGGGACTAACCAGCATGACCAAGCAGGTTCTCTGGATTCGCTGAGCGGTCCAAGCCGACCCAACCATGACACCGATAGTCCATGCTCCTTGCGCAATATTCAGCAGCTGGGTCTGGAGAAGTGTGAACCCAAACTGCTCGATGATAAGGTTGGAGAAGACCCCCAGACCCCCAATGATAAGGTTGGCCACCAAGATCATTAGCACACAGCACCACACAAAGGGATCCGTAACAGCCTCCACCACTTGGTATTTCTTGTACTCCCTGTTCGAGATCCCTGTTTCGTTGTCTCGCACGCGTTCGATCATTAAGATTCTTTCCTCCTCGGTGTAGCACTTGGCGGAGTAGGGGGAGTCGGGAAGGAAGAGCCCGATGAAAAAGGACCAGACGCACGTTGCACATCCCAGAACGAGGAACAACAACTGCCAATTGAAGATCGGCCCGCCTTGGAACTTGGACACACCGAAAGACAAAAGGCCACCAACCTTGACGTGATCAGGTCCATGTATCAGCTGCGCAGGACGATGTAACGTACCATTAGCTGCACTCCGGTCATGCAGTACCAGATGGAGTTCAAGACAGATTGTTCCTCGCGCCGATACCACATCGATGTTCTAGGTGGTCGTTAACTCAAGCCCCGTGCTTACTGGACTAGTCTGGTGAGACCTACAGCAACATCATGGCCGGTTGAATACAGCTCTCGAAGAAGCCCAACAAGAATCGTACCACCATCAGGGCTGCAAAGTTGGTGGCTGCAGCTGAGCACGCGACGATGGCACCCCAGATAAAAACGTTGACGGCTAACATTTTCGCCAAGGGCAGCTTCTGCAAGAGAAAATTCTGTGGGTACTCGCCGACGAGAATACCGAAATACAGGATCGAGCCCAGCCATGAATACTGAGAAGAATAAGGATTAACAGATGGCAAAGACAACAACCGCGACAACCCATCAGACCTCGACTAGCCCTTACCTGTTGCCCGACCAGATGCGTATCAGTCTTGATACCCATGATAGACGCATAGTTCAGTATGCCCTTGTCCAGGGACTGGAAAAAGTAGGTTACAATTTGGATGACCAGAATTCGACGAGTGATCTTCCAAAAGAGCCGGCTGTTGGTAGCCGGGCTAATCACGGTGGCTGCTTGTGTTGCGTGGGGATCAGGTTTCTCCGTATCAGTAGTTCGATCTGTTTTCACATAGGTTTGGTCGAGATCCTCATGGTGAGCAAACTCTCCAGTGTCGACGTGCTTTGATGCAGACATGATAGTGAAAGGGCTGAGAATGGCCAAATGTAGCGATGGGAGGGAGCCATCCTGGGGCTATATAAGTGCGGCAATATCTGCTAATTAAATGGTAAGTGACCGTGATTAACTTAAACGGTTTAGGTTGGTTATTTTGTGACTTCAGGTGCTGAGTCAGAACCATTGAACTGTTCACTAGGGATCACAGCCCTCTGGGAGCATATTGAAAGCACAGACCGGAGGAGTGGCCGGCAATTGCCCCGATTGTCCGGTCCTGTCCGGGCTTGCGGCTAACACATAGCACCACTCATGATCAGCTCCCGATCTGCTGATTAGATTGAAGCTGGAGAGATACCCTTCCGAAACATGGCTCAATACAACCCTGAATTTGTGGCATAGTCAAGAATGGAAGTGATGGAGGTTGATATCAGATTGCTCATCGCAAACTAGCAGTGTCTAACATATCCATGGCAGTTGACATCTTCTGCTGAATCAAATGTCACGGTACAGCTCAATACGTGACAACACCAATATTCTGCTAATGAAAGACATAAACTCGCTATTATCCGCTCACACACCCTGCTTCTGTTTTTCTTCCTCTTCCCCCCCCCTTTCTTTTTCTTTTCTTTCCCCCTTCCTCTTAAGCCTCTTGTTCATTTTCCGGGGTATCCTGCGGGGAGAATAGCGGCGAACCTTGCCCCGGTCGTTCCCCATCCGCTCCACCTTTCTCCCTCGGGGGGGGGGGGATAATAGGAATGCGCTCCAGATCAGCCACTCTGACATAGTACGTGCGGACTTGGGTCAAAGAGAAAGGCATACTCAATCATAAACTTGTTCACATCCATTTCGATCGTGACTTGTTGTAAATAGAGTGTTCGGTGCGGATGTATCCGAGGCCTTAGGCACGAACTCTTCAGACCAGTGATCTACCCAGTCAGCACGTTACGATGCGTCTTAATTTATTCAATTCGTCACCAGTCAGCGCCTATTACAGCTAGCTACAGGACTTCAGAACCCGATTCTTCCAGGATGAAATCCAGATCCCTCAATTCTGCGGGTTGACAGCAACTACTTTCTTGCAACCTCTTCCTTGGAGTACTGGCCAAGTACGCCAATTTACACGTCCATGGATCTCGGTAACTGGACGTTGTACTCTCATGCATTCACGAGGTCCAGCCAAGTGCAAATGTACGGCATCCCTACGGGGGCTGGTATGTACATGCTTGACCATCTTTTCAATTTTGCCCTGCCCGAGTCTTTTTGCTGAGAAATGTAGGCACTTGGGCCCCGACCTTGTCTCATATCAACGGGCTGTACTACCTGGCATCCATGACTCGATGGACCTTTAACCCTGTTGCTCGTGTATGGCCGCGCGTAATCTGGTCCGTGTCTGAGGATCTCAAGTCTTGGAGTGAGCCGATTTGGTCCGGTTGCTGGGGGACTGACCCATCATTGTTCCAAGACCTGGTCTCCAAGAAGGTCTACCTGAACCTGATGGCGCCAACTAACGACGTTGACAGAATTTGGGGCATCTATCAGTGTGAGGTTGACCTCAGCTCCGGACTATGTAGGGGGCTGTATCGCTCCTTGTGGAATGGGACCATGACGCACGATTCTTCTGCGAGGCCCGAAAGACCGAAGATGTTCTGGCGTGAGGGGTTTTATTATCTCTTAATTGCTGAAGGCAAGCCAACTTGAAATAGCTCGAACAAAATCCATGACCCCTTTGGCACTTAACTAGTTGATCTCTGGACTAGGTGGTACCGATGATCTCCATCGTGCGACAATCGCACGTTCTTCATCGCCTGAGGGTCCCTGGGAACCGGATCCAAACAATCCGATCCTGTTCAACGGTCACTACGGTTATGACAACCTCACAGTGCAGTCCACCGGCCACGGTACCATTTTCGATACGCCGGACGGGTTATCGTATATTGCGTACCTGGCACGCCGCAAAATCAATGGATCCTCTCCGTTAGGCAGAGAGACTTTCTTGTCCCCAGTTACTTGGCAGGATGGGTGGCCAGTCGTCAACGGAGGGCAACCTGTGCTCCTGAGTGAGCGAATTGGGAATCTTAGCGATAATCCTGACGTGCGATATCCAGCGTTTAGAGATTCATTCGATGAAGGCGTCCTCGACCCTTCTTGGTATCAGCTTCGGACCCCTTATACCCAGAACTTTGAGCTCAAGAAAGAGAACCCCGGGGGCCTTGTTCTCCGACCGAATGCTTTTGACCTAAGCAACCGCGACACCCCGGCTGCTATCCTACGCAAGCAGAAGTCCTTGAATATGACCTTCAGTGCCCGACTGCTGCCGACATCCTCTGGCCTCGGCTACGGCGAGATCGTCGGAGTCAGCGCCTATCGGAGTGAGCTGCAACACCAGGACATTGGTGTTTCTGGTTGTGTAAACAGCACAGGAATGTGCATCTATACCACGTTAATGATGAACAACACAGTTCAGGTATGTATGCTTTGTAGGAGTGGAGCTCACGAGGCTATTGCTGACCTGTGATGTTCCGTTGCGCCAGTATACCCAGGTGCCGCTGAATTCGTCGACGATCCCATCCGACCTGACCCTTCACATTCGAGCTGAGCCCTTGTCCTACCATCTTGGGTACAGCCAGGATATGCATGGCCCGAGAACATGGTTGGCCGAACTCTCGTCGTCGTGGTTGGCGTTTGCGCCCGAGAATTATTTTGTATTCGCCGGCGCCAGCTTCGCGCTGTTTGCGACCGGGACCGGCAAGCCCTGGCCGCCCCATGCCCCTGACGTTGGCTTTGCAGAGGTTAGGGAAACGTATTTTGAGGAGGATATCCCGGACTACGATGATTGGTGATTGGAATGTCTGATCAGCGCGAGAATCAATCTGGTCTTGGCTTCTGACGCTCAACACCCCTGAGTTAGCAATCTCGTTTGATGATGGTTCATGCTTCGACACTTGCGGCAGGGTGGTCATAGCAATGCATTAATCTGCCTCTCATTTGATCTAAAACTGTACTACATCGATACCCATGGGGTGACTGACAATGTCTTCGATGGAATATTTAGCTCGAATCAAAAGGCAGAAACTCTGACGACCGTTACCAGGGACCATTAATGCTCATTCTTGGCAACACTCCGTGTAAGCCGGCCTTTATAATCGGCCTCTTACCAACCGATTCACGCCTGTAAATGCCCGGTGAGTACTAGTAGTCAATGCACGCTACGAACACGAACCTGCTGCACAAGCAGAAGCAATCGGGTAGATGACTGATCATTTCATTTCATTCTGCCTTCCATATTACGTTGCAAAATGACACCCCTATATCAACATTCAAGCCAGAGTGTACATCAAAGTGCCATATCCCAATTGGTCATACCCGCCACTGGTGGTTCCGTAATTACCACCGCCTCCTTCAGCGCCAGAGCCATTCTGCACGACCATGTCGCGATAGGCTTCCGTATAGGTGACATTCAACCCCTTGAGCACCCCGTAGTGGTTGTAGAAGAGCTCCCAGATGGGCCGGATGTCACCACGGCTGGTGTTGCTGATGACTGTCTGGTTCACGTCGTCGCTATTGTCGTATGTCGTGTAGGGGACATCGTAGCCCAGGTTGTACTTGGCCACGTATTCAGCACTGATAATTGCTTGTTAGCCAGGGCAAGAAAAGACTTGATATGATATCACTTGGGAGAGTAAGAAGAAGAAACCAGGGGAAACAAGGGCTTAGGGTACAACAAAAGCTCTTGTGACGCACCCCGCAAGAATTCGGTTATCCAGATATCCAAAGAGATCGGTTCCCTGATTGTACGCGGTCTGGGCGATAGGGCCCAGGAGGGCGAAATCCAACATGGAATGGCCCTGGTCGCGCCCGGCCTCCTGACCCTGCCCTAGGGTCTCCCCGTCCACCTGATAGAGCTCCCAGATTGCCTTCTCGATCTGCCCGTTCCCGGCGCCAGACTTGAAATACGTCAGCCCTTCCTTGTACATTGTCTGGTTGTCGCTTAGAACACCGATCGACAAGACAGAGGCAATGTTGCATAGATCCCAATTGGCCCAGTAATGATCGACAGCGGCGCCGTGGTGATTCACCAAGAAATCATGGTTGATGGGGTAGAAGACGTCGACCATCATGTCGATGAAGCGGGTGACATTGGCCGCGGGCCACCCGGAGTAGGTGCGCATCACCTCCGCGACATTGGCAAACTGGTACCCGTAGATGCCCGCGGCCAGGTAGAGGTCGGTGGTGCCCGAGATGTTGGTCAGGGTGGAGCTCCATTCGTCGAGGATGTTCACCACCACACCCGCGTAGCTGGTGTTGCCGGTGACTTTCCAGTAGATGGCCATGGCATAAGCCGCTGCAATATCCCTGTACAAGGAAGGATAATTCTCCGCGTGCACCCCATCCGCGCCCCGATAGACGGTCGTCTTGGGCGACGGGGTGTAATCCAGGTCGATGTTGGAGCTATTGCTGAGCTTGTACCAGCCCGTCAGCCAGGGCTCCGTCTTGCTTGAAACTTTTTCCACGATGCGCGCAAAGTCCGAGGTCGAATGAAGGAGGCCCGGATGGGTGAATGTGGCGGCGGAACCGTGAGACGTTCCGTGGCTGGAGGCACGGGATGCTCCGTGGTGGGAGGCTGATGCCACCCCCAGTGAAATCAAGGCAACCGGAAGCGTCAGCTTCATCGTTTTCGCGCACGTCAGACCTAGATATGAATAACCGAATCTAAGTTTTGGCTGTACGAGTTGCTCAATGACTCCAAGCTTGATGAGTATACAATATCTAGCGAGGGCAGTTCCTCGACCATCTCTATTCTATATAGTACTCCCGAGAAAAGGGGAGCAATGGAAATCATCCCGCGAATTTGCTTTTGGTAGCAGATGAAACGGGCCGTTTCCTGGACGGACGTGCAAAAGCAGAGGATAAGTTACTGCATTGTAGAATTAGAAGCGACAGGGGTTCATTGGTCTTTCTGCATCAGATTACAAAAAGGAGAAATCATTAAGTGGAGATAGGGGCCGCGTGTGCTCGTCTCGGTGCAGCTGCCGCTACTTATCCCGAAGGGTTTTCTCTTGGCGACTACTGAGTACCAAGACATTGAGTATCCAGGCACTCGCCGGGCCATTGGACGGCCCTTTCCCCATTGGATCTCCACCAGGCTTGAGCAGTACCCAATTCCTTTATAATATATATGTACAAATTGTCTACTCTGTAGTTGCGCTGCAAAGACAATCAACGCGCGGCAGTGAGTCTCAGTGGATCATACCCGACCTCCAGCTCGGCAAAGTTGACGACCGGGCCGCTATAGGATCCGCTATTCAATATACACGTTACAGACTACACTCAGACTTACCTGCGTCTGTTCTCGTGTGCTGATCACAAAAGCATGCTGGTACGTCTGTAAAATGCCCCATCGCTTTCTCAACGGCCCCCTCCCTGGCGCTTAGCGACAGGGTACTAATCGAGGGTAGTCAGATGATACCCAACAGAGATCCACAGGATCGACGCAAAGGCTCGAGGAGAGCCGGCATTCGCCTCATATGAGCAGTACTTTGCCTAAATCATTGACGGACATTTTCTTCTCCGAGTCAGTGGCCGCGAAGCTGTGGTATGTGGCGAGCAAAGCACAGGGAAAGGCAAGTGGCCGAATTAGCCCTAATGATTTTGCCGCTGGCCTGTGCTGGACTGACTGCTTCCGTAGGCGGAACCACCCACCTTCTATCCAGAATATACAGGCCGAGATGGTGGGAGATATGTTTATCGAGATTTAAGCTTCTGGACTTCGGGGTTCTTCCCCGGATCTCTGTACCTGCTGCTCGAACGGCAAACCAAATACAACCAGTGCCGTATCGGCGGGAGAACCCCCGGTCCCCACCATGTGCAACTCGAGCATCTGTGCCAATGGTGGACCACCAACCTGCACCAAAACGCTCTGCTGAGCACGACGCACGATCTGGGGTTCATGATCGCTCCGTGGGCAATAAAAGCCTGGGAGCTGCAGCACGACGCGCGCGCACTCAGCACCCTCGTTGTCGCCGCCCACACCCTGGCGCGGCGGTTCTGCCCCCGCGTCCAGGCGATCCGAAGCTGGGACACGTGCATCACCAAGCGATATGCCTTCAAGGATCCGTCCAAGGACTTTCTAGTCATCATAGACAACATGCTCAACCTCGATATGCTTTTCTGGGTCGCGAAAGCGACAAACGATCACCGTCTATTCGACATCGCGGTCGCGCATGCCCGCACTACGCAACAGCATCACATCCGGCCCGATAATTCCTCGTACCATGTGGTCAACTTTGACGACATGACCGCAAAGCCGAAACAGAAATTCACTAACCAAGGATTCAGCGACGAGAGCTGCTGGTCGCGCGGTCAAGCATGGGGGATCCTGGGATTTGCGCAGACGTTCTTCTGGACGCAGGATCGATCTTTCTTGGCCACGGCGCAGGCGCTCGCGGATTATTTCATAGAGCATCTGCCGCCCGACGGGGTTCCGTACTGGGACTTTGATGCTCCCGTCACCAGTGAAACGCCTCGCGATACTTCGGCGGCCATGATCGCCTCGTGCGGCATGCTCTTACTTTACAAAGGGTTCCGGACACAGGGATTTGAGGAGGTTGCAGGTCGTTATTCACGAGCTGTCGAGCGCATTGTTCAAGGCACGCTCGCATCGTGCCTGAACCCACCGACGTTTCGCTTTACCGTCTCACCCTCGGAGCAGCAGTTCGAGACGTATGAGGACGGAGCGCCCTCCGAGCATCAGCCAAAGCAAGAATCTGGCTCCCTGGTGGTCGATGACGGGACAGAGGGAGGGAAGACCAAGACAAATCACCCACCGAAAGAGACGATACTCAACGGTGCGACAATCAACAACTATGAGTTCGCGCCGCGACGCTGGGCTAACCACGGCCTGGTCTATGCGGACTATTACTTCATGCTTTTGGGAAACATGTTGCTTGAACTGGGCTTGGTAGAGCCAGGGACGTAGCACGACAGCATGAGCTATTTCATGTGCTTAATCTTCAGGAAATGAAGTTTTGGAAAGAGCCCGCAGTCGGACTGAACTGGATTACGAAGAGATCGAGTTACAAGGTGACGAGACGATTAGACCATATTTTACATCGAAGAAATAGAACAAAGGGATAGAAGAATATACATTTTCACGGGACTTTGCGGCTGGCTAGCCTTGTTATACCTGACCCAATTCCCAGAACGACCTATGGACGTGATCAGAGAGGGAATGTCTATTGTGGACCGGGGTTCCAGAATTGAGATCTTCCTGATGTAGAGTGATCGAGAAATGGTAATGGTACTTCCTTGCCCAAGCACAAAGGGTCTACCATCGGCAATCCCGCCAGCGGGTCATATTGCACCTGCAGCGATGGGGGAAGCGGTGGAAACGCGAGGCTCAGGGTATCGTTCAGAAAATCGCTGGGAGAGACTTGGTTCGCGACGCGACCCTGCTCACTGCGGTAGTCGGCCAACGATTGCGCCTCAATTGATGTCCAACGTGGATTCAATGGAGTCGAAGAGCTCTGTGCACCGTGTGGTAATGTCACCGTAGAGGGTCCGACGCCGTCCCCACAGCGCGCACGAACATCGATTGAAGACGACTCGGCACAATCCCCAGACTCCGAGTAAGCGGCTTGTCGAATGTCGAGGGGCGTCGCGGGTGATGCCGCGTTGCAGTACATGTATTGTCGAGCTTTAATGAGCCTTTCGCCAAACACCGACGCCAGATTTCGGTGGTCCGTGGCACCCGGACCAGCCCAACGACGGGATATCTCAAGCAAACTCCCAACGATACTTTCGAGCTGATCTGAGACAGGAAGCCTGGCATGCTGAGAGTGTACTAGTAGCATTCGTCCCGCAATGAAGAGACAGAACGAGAATTGTGGATTGGCAAGAATGGAGGAGTGCTGGAGAAACAGGCTACCCAGCATCACAATCTCGGAGGCAGCCTCGATACACGTTTCGAGCGAGGTTGCCGACGGAAATCGCACAGGGCAATCTTTCCAATGTGCGGGAGGATAGGCGATGCTCTGATGGAGCAGAATTAGTGCTGTGTTGTGGGTGAAATGCGCGAGAGTCAGATTCGGGTCCATGATTCCGTCCACGTTGAGAACCGAAGCCGATTGCCACTTTGGCGGCAGCAGGAGCTTCCACTGAACCAGGCGCAAATCGAGTTCCTTGAATCTCAGCAGCCATTTCTTGGTCTTTTGTACGTCTTCGATGTCAAGGGCATTGTGCAAGAAGAAATGGACCACCAGGCTCAGCGACTCAGTGGCCTCGATGGCGTAGGCAAACCCGCCGAGGGAGTCCTGTCCAGGGTGCTTATCGTCGTCCAAGATTGGACCGTTCGCTCCGTGGCTGAAATGATTGGCGATGCCAAAGAATGGCGTGGTCTGCTCTTGCTCCCGCTGCCATAACGCTCCCTCGCAGGGCAGACGCCGTCGAACGTCTGCGCTCGTCAAACTCAGGTTCCATCCGGTCGAGACGCTACAAAATCTGTCCATCAGGAACACGGTCCAGAATACCCGTCTTCGCTCCTCGGTCTGCCACCAGTGCTGCGCTGGCTTCAAAAAGACCATTCGCTTGATGAGATACTCACCCTTTGCCGTTCTTTCCTCATCGTCGTCACGATCCTCGACACTTAGCTGGAGTTGCTCAACAGTGCGCGTCATGCTGCCGACCACCGACCACGCTGACGGGCCTTGACCACTCCCGATCTGCATCGTAGCTGTTATCACTATATTCAACATTGTTAGGGAATGGGAATCGGCATACTATATCGAACGCTACAATCACCAATGCTTGCAAGTTCTCCACCGAGAATGACTCCATGCTGTTGAGGATCACTCTTTGACGACTAGCAGCCGCCATATCTGCTTTTAATTGCGGATCTCCAGCCTCGAGGTGTGAAATAAAGCGGATGGAGGTAGCTAGAATTGCATGTAAAATCGGCAGGGCCTTGTTCCAGCCGTCGGGACTGTACAGCTGCTCACGAAATCGCCTGACATGGAGAATGGGAATCCAGGGATGGACATTGGTGAAATAGAATTCGACCAACTCCATCATGACTGCATGTGATAGCAGCCCCTGCGCAGAGAGCTGCGCGGCAGACAAGTCGTTCACTGTCTCGATCGCCTGCTGCCCAACGTTGGAGTCACAATGGAGTTTTCGACGCTTTGCAGCACGCTCTTCTGGTGGTTTCTGCTGCCGCATGACATCCGTGTTCTCCTCCTGCTGTTCTTCGTCCCTGGACTCTTGTCTTTCGTGTCCTTTTCTTTCATCTCCCAGCCCTTGCCTGAACAACGCTACACAAGTGCCACCAGGCATCCCTGCTGCCTCTTGCAGCAAGTTCTGCTTGACCTCCTCAGATAACTGCTTGAGGCTCGCCGTACTACCTGCCGTTTCGATGCCATTGTGGGCCGGAGAGGGAATATTGGGCGATACGCCATCCATCACCGCGCTCCACATCCTCTGCCAGAGAAGGCTTTGGCCGAGAAACATATTCTCCAGCGTGTCGACGCGCTGTTGCAGCCGCTCGACGGCGCCGGCGCGAAGACCCGGCTTCGAGCGACAGTCATCGTAGAGACAGATGGCGTTGAAGCGGGTACATTGCGCGCACGGCTGCTCGCGGTCGCATTTCGTCTTCTTGCGCCGACAAGATTGACAGGCCAAGGACTTGTCCTTTCCGAATTCTGGCTGATCGGGCTCGTCGGCTGCCATTGTCACAGGTGCCAGAAACAGCTGTTACCTGGAGACTGAGATATGGGGATATCGTATCATTCAGGTACCGGGACGGACCCAGAATTCGTGCACGCTTCACCCCTGGGGTTCGGGTGGCATTACCCCGCCATTTCCCCGCATTGCATGATTCCCGTCACTGCACTTTTCAGCAGATACTCGTCACATCCACATCCCAATGTGGCACATTACCCAGAATAGCCACACGTGTGTATGTCCTCTCTATCGCAGCGTTCTATTCTCTCTTCTCATGCTTTATTTATCTATCCTTTTCTAAATCTTTTCAACCTATCTCTTTTTCTTGAAAATTGATTATTGAGCGTTGTACTTGTTGTCTATCCTGTATAGTAGATTTGATCTGTGGTAACAAAGGCATCTAGCGGAAGATATAAAGTAAAACTCGCCACACTGCTATCGAGATTTTACAACCGCTGAGGGTTCGGCTCACAATAAGTCCGTCAAAGGCACTTGACAGGCTCAATCAATCAAGTTATGCAGCAAGTGGGATCTTGGCAGGACGGGAATGAATAACTCCTAGCTGAGGTACCTGCTATGCACCTGGCAGTACACAGTAGGTCGTAATTTCACCCTCGCAGAAGAGGAAAGCGGCCGGTCTAATCGCCGGCCCGGGCTCCCTTCGCTCCGGACGAATTCTCATCCGAAAAGAAGGAGGAATGAAACCATACAATCCGGTGGGGACGGCATATTGTCACGTGAATCAGGGCTCAAACAACGGTATTTCCTGGTTAGTAGTGTACGTCATTTTGGGAGTGTTTATCACATTCGATCCAACCGGAACCCTCGAAAACTTATGCATAATTTTCCACCAATCAAGTAGATCAGCACACTTCACGCCGGAACTGGACCCTTCCAAAGCTGTACAGTACAGTATGCGAGCTTCCCGGTCGCTCTGTTTCCGCCAAATCTTCATGCTTCGGCCGCCCAGATAAGACCACCCCAGCTCGGATGGTCGTTGCTGGAAACTGCCCCTTCGAAGCCTTCATAATCCTGAGCTTTAGTCGTCCAGGGTGCCGTTGCCTTCTGCTTGACGACGTATTGGTAATACAGAAGGTCCCAGATCGGTATCTTGTTGCTGACGCCACGGTTCTCCGCCGAGATGACCTCCCAGGGACCGTTGACAAGGACCGCTTCGCAGCGCGACCACTTCGGGTCATAAATAACGGTCGAGTTGAGATTGTATTTGGCGGCATACTCCGCGGCCTTCAACAGCAGATTATCTCCTACCTCAAACAGGTTTACCCCTTGACTCAAGCCGACTCGGGCTCCGTAAGCCGACCACCCGATTCCGGACATTGTGTGGCCTGTTCAATACGGTCAGTAAGGAAGGAAACTGGCAGGGGACACTGAATAGAAGATGCAGAACACACCCTGATCCCGACCGGCCTCCACCGACTGACCCGTTTCGGAGTTGTACTGTGCAAAGATACCGGCGCAGTTGTCCTGAATGAAGGCATTCATCGCGTAATTGTACAGCTGCACATCGTCCAAGTAGACGGCGAAGCTGAGCATCGCTTTGATGCTGACCATGCCGTAGTTGGCCTGCCCCACCGCCGCCGACTGGCGCGCAAACAGCCAGTACAGTTGCGTGCTGAAGCCCGAGCCCCCTTGCCACCGCGCTCCAACTTCGGTCCAGTTGCCCTCCCAGCGCATGAGCTCCGCCGCGTTGACAAACAAATCCCCGTCCAGGCCGATCATGAGCGAGCGATCGATTCCGATGATATTGGTCAGATTGGTTCCCCAGGCGTCGAGGATCGTGGTGCTGCGCGTCCAGTGGGATTCGTTCTTGGTGATGTACCACATGAGCGCGTTCTGCCAGGCCGCACGCGCGTCGTGCGCAAAGCTGGTGTAATTGCTCGTCTGCCCGCGGGCTATCACTTCCTTTGGGCCCTGCATCTCGTAGCTGGCCTGGGAGTAACTGTCGGCGCTGAATTGCTGGTACGCGGAGGCCCACGGGTCCTGACCACTCAGCACTTTGTTACGGATCAGTTCCAGGTCGTCGTGAGTGTGCCAGATCCCGGGGTGGACGAAATCACTCGGTCGCCTCTTCAGGTAGCTGGTGGAATCGACGCCGGAGAACGTCGCGACAATTGGTACGGGCCCGAAGATTGCGGGCACATCCTGCACCGTACACTGAACCGCCCGGATGGACAGAGCGACGACGGCGGATATACTCACCAGTAATTTCTACCGGAGAGAGAAAAGAACGTGAGTCAATGTGTTGGATATTGTCTAGGAGGGAGAGGATATCGATGATAGTATACGCACCTTCATGGTCATCTGTCCTGTGCTGTACTTGTCGAGAACCAAAGCTGAATATAGCCGGATTATATGCCTAAGGATCCCTTCCTGGTTTCCGCACTTCTCGGATGGTACTTGGTTATCAGATTTATGGTAGGAAGGCTCCCCGATGAATCTGACCTTAACGGTGCCCTAATGCAAGTCAGAAGCCGGACTCCGGGCCGTGCTTTGCACCGTCTCCGCTCAAGGAGAACTGCCGGGTGGACCCTAGAGTCTGCTGCATGTATCGTAGCGAACGACCTAGCATATCTTTTCGGTAGCATCCAACTTCGCACAAGAAGACATCCCCCATATTCGATCGTCAGGCACACGACTATTTTTCCTGTCCCATCTATCATTCTCTTCATCCGAGAAGCAGTGCTGCAGGCCGTGACCATGAATTATCTCTTTCTTGCTAGTTACGTCCTGCTGCCCATCATCAGCGGGGCCTTATCCTCCACAGAGGATCCTCTCAGCTATCGGAACATTGCTGGAAGCTATATTCCTACCAAGTCGCCGAACGCTACTACCCTTCTGGAGTTCATTAATTCTCGTTCAGAGCTGAGTGTTCTCGCACAGGAGTTGCAGACAATCGGCGGGTTCTCGGCGGCTTTCGATACGGAACCAACCTGGAGCTTTACCTTCTTTGCGCCTAACAACGATGCCTTTGAGCTTCATACCGGCACATACTTCAACAACTTCAAGTCCACTCCGTCTGTTGGCCCTCTCCTTCTAATCATGCAACTCCTGCTGAAAAGAGAGCTGACACCTGACTAGGAAGGGAAAATGGTGGCTGGGCAACACGCTACTCTCACATTACGTCCCAAATACCAATCTCAATTCTAGTAGCTTCAACGAGACCTACCAAAGATTTCAGGTAGGCTACATGAGCCATGGAGTCATGTATAAAGCTAACACAACTCTCACTCCAGACTGCCAGTTACCTCTATGTCGGTTCGCAGGTTCAAGACGGCAAAATCATCCTGAACAACGTGGCCACCGTGGTGGAAAAGGATATCTCGATTACCAAGGCGAGTATCAGCTGATCGCACCTCCTTCCTTCTTCATTTGAGGGACATTAACAGTTCTACGCAGGGAACCATTCACATCATTAATCGGATTCTCGATCCCTCCGCCCAAGTCTTCGAAACAGACCTGCCGAAGGTATCTCAGAGTTTCATTCCTGGAAGCTGTTCGAACCAGGCTCTGTCATATTGCTGATGAATGGGCCTCGTGTGGAGGGTGGCCGATGTCTGGCAAGAGATTGGTTGCATCCCATGATATGCTCACTTAGAACCTTATATCTATCTTTCAGAGTTTTTTCATATCAGAATTGAACTGTGTGATTTTCTAAAGCATTTAAGTCCTTATCGAAGTGTGTAGAATTGTGTGGTTAAATTATGAATCTTAGCGACTGTTGTGATTAGATATGTAGTCACAGCCTCACCGGACCCAACTTGTTGGATCGCAAAAGTCCATCACACAGCATGAAGACAGACAGACATGAGGAGCATGAAGATTCTTCAACAGTAAGCTTTCTTCTCTGTGTTGCAAATGTTCTTGTTATTCTAGGAGGCAGGGTGCATTATAAGTATAAGCAGTTATTCACTTACACGGTTGTCGCAGGTCGTGGTAAGGGTAAATATTCTTCAAATCCTACTCTTATAACTCACATGTCCAGTCTGAACACAAGAGTCTGATACGCCTGCAGTGTGCCTGAAAAAGACCTGATCTTCCCCAAGGACCTGTCGGCCCATAGTTCCGTAACACTGACAGGCCCAGAAAGCTGCAACCCCAGAGTCTCGAAATCTACCTTCAATCTTTGTGGGTAGCTCTTCTCGTTGAACAGGAGAACCACGTATCCATTCTCCACACTGCCAGCCCATACCTGCGACAAGCCCTCGGAGCTGGCGTTCTGGACATAATTGATTGACTGTCCAAGCAGGTCCTGATTGATTGCGATCATTCGTTTATTCGTAAGCACATTAAGCGCGTCGTCGGACAGCTTGGACAGGTCTGCTCCAATAATCAGCGGCGATTTGAGCGCCGCCCAGAAGGCAAAGTGCGTTTGCTGCTGATACAGCGTCATCTCCGCGTTGCCAATCTCTAGCATGTCCATGTCCATCCAGTGCCCGCGGGACTGGTACTGACTAATCTCGCGCATCTTCCGAATGATGCTCATCACCGAGCAGCTCGCGTACCCGGTGTTCAAGCAGTAGGCGGTCTTGCAGGGGCAGCCCGTTTCGTTCGCAAAGACGTTGGTGATGTCCCCTGACATGCGATAGGAGTGACCGATCGCTGGAAGAAGTGTTTGCGATGGTCAGCAACTATGGTCTTCCACAAGCGCATCCGCATGGCAGGCCATGCAAAGACAGGGACAGTACATACCTCCACCCCAGTGCCAGGGAAACTGATATCCCCACTCGCAGACAGAATATAGGATCTCCCGCCCGACCAGCTGTAGGGCTTTCTGCATAATCCCGAACCGGACCGGCGGCGCCTCAGTCATAGCCTGGTAGCCCCCGCAGTTGTCATATTTCCAGTAATCCACCCCCCAGTCGGCCAACGTCTGCGCGTCGCGCTCTTCGTAGCCCCAACTGCCGGGGCGGAATGCACACGTCAGCGTGCCGCTGTCGCCGTACAGGCCCAGTTTTAGGCCTTGGGCGTGGACCTTATCGGCTAGAGCGGGAATCCCGCTGAGAAAGGAGGTCGCATTGGCCTGCAGGTATCCGTCCGCCGTGCGATTATAGTCGGCCCATCCGTCGTCCACGAGGACGTAGTCGTATCCAGCATCTTTCAGCCCGAGACTGGTGAGGAGCTGAGCACTCTGGATGACCACTGACTCATTGATGTTGGCCTTGTACGCATTCCATGAGTTCCAGCCCATCTGCGGGGTTTGACCCAGGGTGCCGGTTTGCGCTGCAGCAAGGCATGGGGCAATATGAAAGATGGCAGTAGCGGCGAGAATACGTTCGGTAGTCTTCCGGCAATACATTTTGGTAGGGTGAGGTTGCATAGAGTAAAGAGGACGTGGAGGTTGGGACACCAGCTAAGGAACATTAATTTACATTGTGTTCGAAGGGTGGTGCTGGGGCGTACTCCGGACATTAGACCGATGGTCCGGAGTCACGGGCCAGTTGCCTGTCGGTGTCCCGTGGAAGAAGAGCAAAAGCAATTTGATCTAATAGTGGAGAAGGCTCGTGAAGAATTAATAATGCAGGAATGTGTCTCGTGGTTCCTGTGAAGAAATGCTTGTAAATGACTAAGTCAAGGAACAATGTTCTCGTAGTTGACTTTTGGATGTGTGTCTGGATCCCGCTCCAACCTATATACTACCGTGTCTCGCCAGCACTAGACCCAAGTTTGCAGCGCTTGACAAGGCAATGGTATTGAGAAGATCGAGTGAGGGCCTACTAATCAACCGGCGGCAATGGGCGGCTCTGCTATGGCTCACGGTTCTACCATTGCATCCTAGTCCGCGTCATCCCATTGCAGCAGAAGAAGAACATCAGGATGCTCATATCCGTCCGCACCAATGTTTCATTGTGATCCGCCAGGACAGGATCTGGTCGGAGTAAGCTACATGCAGGCTAGTTATCGCAGGATACGCACCCGCTACGTAAAATCCATTAGGTGCCATCATGTATAAGTTACCTTGGGTATACATCAGGCTACTGACGTCGTAAGACGAAGTCTTGCTGCAGAAATACAAACAATACTCACAGCACTGAATCAACTGGCACGAATCGACTGAGCTGACTGTATCGGCGGGTGCTGTGCGTATACGAGCACCATTGCGGCTGGAATACGAGCTTGGCGTGGCTCAGCCGCTACCAACAAGCTGGTCAGGCACTCCACGTCAAGCTGTATAGATCATGCTGTCTGTTCCTTGCGAGAACTCCCTATAAATCTGCATTGCTCATATCGGTCGTCAAGAATTTCATTTGCGTCAAGCAGTCGCAACAAAATACTAATTTCAAACAGCCGCTGAGCTACCGCAAAATGAAACTGTCCTTCTACGTCACTGCAACAGTAGTCGTCGGGCAGGCATACGGGGGCCACATTACCCTATTCCGGCGCGGAGACTGCCAGCCCTCATTGACAAACGAAGGCGGCAGTGTTCTCGAGATTTCCGCCGAGAACGAGATCTGGTGTGCCCCGATCGACGATGTCTTCCAGTCCGCCGTGTCATATTACAACACTGGCCTGCCCTGCGAGTTCCGTCTATACAACAGCCACGTCTGCTCTCTGGACTCCCTCAGCCACACCATCCGTACAGAGAGTCCCACAGGCAAGTGCCTGAGCGCCACGGGCTCGTCTGGGCGGTACATGGCAGTGACCGCGCTCTGTGGACCTTCGTTTCCGGGCGGCACCAAACGCGATCTAACGGATGAAGCGGGCCAGGCCGATCAGCACGTACTTTCATCAGATATGTTGACCGATGAGCAGATCCCGGCCGAGGTCGACAAACGCGCCGGATTCGAATGGTGGCATCGTCTCACCAACTACCTTGGCCAGAGATTTGTGCGCTTACGCCCCAATCGACCGGTCATGAATGACTACGCGGAGACCCACCACATCTTGACGACGCACACCGCAGAGTTACCGACGGCGATCCTCACCCCAACTGCAGCGATGACTATTGCTCAGCGGATCGTCTACGACAACTGGGGCAATACGGGCTGGGCCGCGTATCCAATTCATCGCGTGGGAGCACACACCATCTATGTGGATTTTCTCGGCCAGCGGGTTCACCGTGCCGATGGTTCCTTCTTCCGGGTGCCCTTGTGGCAGCTGGTTCAGGAGTTGCAGACCGATCGGATTCATCAGATGTTGATGGATGGGTTCATGACGATGCGGTTGAGTGGTCGGAACACGTACAGCGCGGAATTCAAGTTCTTGTATGGCGACGAAGTCTCGCTGATCATCGAGATTCACGTGGAGTAGCCTTTTCCGTAATATTGGATCTCTGTTGCTTTTTTTCTGGTGGTATGCCCGTATGCTGGAGGGGAATTGAGGAAAGCCTCGGGTTCTAGGTACCGTGCGGAGGGTTGGAGATCTTGTCTCATTCGCGGGTATTCGCGATTACTCGCGAGTTGGATTAACCTATAAATGGCACGATATGGACTTTCGATATTCGTTCGCTCGAATGATCGGACATGTCTCCATATTGTAGCTCTTAGGGTTGATTTCCCGTTTGAGAAGACGGAATTTATCCCCGGCCCCGGGCCGATATACTATAGAGCTCGAGACTGCATTTGAAGATGAGTTCTAAATCTACACCTCGACGCGAAACACACTGTATCAGAATCTCCCTATGTGGCTGCGCAGTGAATTGTGGGCTTTCAACGCTATCAATCGAAAGTGAAGAGGCTGTCTCGTCCGTGCCTAGTGTCTATCCGGTGAAGGGAAGCTACCTCTCTAAAGCACCAGCGTACTGCTTCGCCAAGTCCAGAATTGGCAGAGCCAACTGTTCCAGATCTCTGCTCACGTGCACCATCAGTATTTTCCACTTGTCAAATTTCTCTCCGCAGACCCGACAGGACTCCTGTTGCGGGGTTGCGTTGCTCTCATGGTGACACTGCGGAACCAATTTCCACAGATTCTCCACGTTAACATGCCTTTGTGCATCAAGAGCCCTCTGCATGGCCGTCGTGGCCTTGATCTTCTCGACTCTCGGCTCGGCCATCTCGTGCTCCCGAACGAGATGCTGCACGAAATTGTCCTGGCGAAAGCACTTGTAGGCGCAATCGTCGTAGGAGCAGACCCACTACTCCAATTGGCAGTGCCTTTCGGTCTTGTGACGCATCTAGTCCGCTCTGCGTTTGAACGACCGTGGGTCCACGCAGCCAGGGAATGTGCATGTGAACGGTTGGGGATCGTCGGCGACGTGCCTCGGCCAGTCCAACGCCTATGGCCCTTGGCAGTGAAAACAGCCAGCTCGTCGAAGGCGTGAGCACTAGAGAATGACAGAATATCAGCGTAATCGGAACAGAATGCCTAGAAGACTTACAAGAGCGTTGTCTTGCCAATCCCAGCCAGAAGAAGACCGTCAGCCTTTGTCAGAGTGCAAAGATCCTGACGTACATACGTTTTCACAAGAGACAGAGGATGTTCCGGTCAACGATGGGAGAACACACTTCAAAATCTATTTCAAAGCATTAGAGGGGTTATAGAAAGTCTTGGTATTTTTAATCCCCTCGCACTACCTTCTGACCCCCTCCGAGCTGGTACCCTGAGCTCCTTCAGCCAGCTAGTTACCACTAACTGAGCTGTTGCTTCACCTTCCGAGTTCACGTAACTACTTGCGAGTCATTGGGATAGCCTCTGTAGAAGGATGTACGTGATCATATCAAACATCTGGTCAGAACATGCCTCTGTTGGAACCCTTATTTCAGCGTCATGTTCTAGGAATGAAGGGATCTCTCAATTCATTATATCACGGTCATTACACATCTCTTGTTGATTCCACCAGCCTGACAGGCTCTTCTACCTCCAGGTTGTAGCTACGGTCGCCGCAGTTGCACAACCGGTCGGTACAGTGTACGATCGGTTCGGGTCGCTCTCCCACACCACTGTACCGTCAGACTCCTTCTTGATGAACTTGTACTCGAAGGTCGTGCCAGCGGGCAAGGTAACTGTTGCCGTCCATAGGGGATTGGAGGAGGTGTACGAGGAGGCCGAGAGCGCGATGGCGGAGGAGGTATCCCACGAGCTCAGCTGGCTGATCGAGCCGGTCAGGAAGATGTTCTCGCCGTAGGTTGTCGTGACCAGCTCGTTGAAAGTAACAGCTACGCTGGTAGCGGCGGTGCAGGTCGCGGAGCTGGTCGTACTGGAGGTCGTCGTCGTCGTGCTGCTAGTCTTGCTGGTCGTGCTGGTCGTGCTGCTGCTCGAAGATGAGGACGAGCTGGAGGAGCCGGAACCTGACCCGCCGGTGATGGCGATATCGGCGCACCCGAGATAGACCTGCGCGGTCTGATAGCTGTTCCACCTCCAGCGCAGCAGGGTATGGTCGGACGAGTAGTTAGGGAGCTAGACATGGCTATAATTAATCTCTGGTCACCGGAAATATTGCTGGTCAGCCACCCACCTTGATCTTCTTGGTCACGGTGTATCCGCCCGCGATGGTGGTGGTGCACGAGTTCAGCGCCGCTCCGTCCACCCCCTCACAGCCGCGGTTGGTGTCCGCGTTGAACGCATTGCATGTAAACCAGTCGTTGCGGTAGCAGGCCTGGTCCGACGTGCAGTCGGGGTTGTAGCCGCAGGTCTGGCCGCTCACGTCGGTGCATTTCAGCTCGCCCGCAAGGAAGCAGTCCTCAGCGGCTTGCTTTTCATCATTGGTCGGCAGATAATCCGGGTCAAGGAAGAGGTCGACAAGCGTTTGGTTAGTGCAGATACCGTAGGTGAACATGCCGCCGTGGTCACCGTTGTGGTCGACACACCACTGCACTTCGATGGTGTCCTCGGCCGTGTAGGTCGCGACAACCGAGTTCCCCCAATTATCGCTGGGCTGGTTGTAGTCGACGCTCACCCTGGCATTGTAACCGCAGGGACCAGAGCGGCCAACCTGGGCCTCCTCGAGATCCGGCCATGCGGTGACAGGTTCAAGGATAGCACACTCGGGGCATGTATCGATACCAGCCTATCGTCCGGTTACTTAGTATCAGACGCAAAATTCGATGGAAGCGCGGTATACCTCAAATCCTAGTCGGGTTCTGCTAGATGGAATGGTAAGGTAGCCATGGCCGGCCACGGAGGTCAGCAGTCCGGCGAGGGTGAAGATAGAAGAACTCTTCATGATTGTGATGTTTTTGAGCTGGCTGCTGTGACATCGAGAGAATCCCCGAATAATGGTGGTGTTTTATAAGTATATTGTTCCTCGCTTGGAATCACCCACATCCCGATTCGGCACGGGCCTTGGCCGCTATTAGTCGGTTCTTGGAAGTCTTGGTAAAGGACATACCGGCAAATCAGGTCTTCTGCAGGTTCGCTACCCCGATATTTGACCGAAAGCAAGGCTGCTGAAGAATGCACACTCGGGTCTTGGCACCAGTCGTCTCTGGCGATGATCGGGCCAACAAGCCTAAGCGAGGTGAAGTACGTATTCAGGTACAGTACAATGAAGCATGCCATGGCAGGCATGTGCATCCAGTATAAGCGAGAATTAACTTGACTAGTTTCTGCATGGCGTTGTCACGTACCGACACGCTAGTTAGCTTCGGGTTCAGCCGCCGGCAACCATGGAATGGAAATGAATGCTCTACCCCTCGCTGCATTCGCACTCACTCACTCACCGTCTGCACTCTTCGCAGCCCTACCTCCCCTACTGCTTTCCAATAGCCCTAACTCAACTGATTGATTCATGGCCCAACCAGAACACTTCAATTATCTTTGGGATCAGGCCAAGGCGCGTTACAAGTCCGTCACAGACCATGACCTCGACAACCCCGCATTTCCCAGCCCCGCCTCAGCTGACGACCTGCTCGCTCTCCTGGACGCAAGAAATGCCGACTTCTTATCTTTCCGCGAGAAGCGATCTGTGCTGTTCCACAGCCTCAGCACACTGTGTCAACCGATCGAATTGCTCACCAATGTCGTCTCCACGGGGACCTCGGTGGTATTCCCGCCCAGCGCCGCATGTTTTGCCGCCCTGACCTTGTTGATCGATGCTGCCCGCGGCGTCTCGTCGCTCTATGATTCTATAATCGGTCTCATCGAGATCCTCAAGGTCTTCACCTGATCCCCCGAGATATGGCATATTCAAACCTGACTTGAGTCATAAAAGTAGGACTTCCTCGCGCGACTCAAGATCTATGCTGCGAATCAGGCGACACCCGAGCTCCGCAGCACGCTGGTGAATATCCTTGTGATCCTGCTGGAAGTCTTCGGTCACTCGGCGAGAATCATCCGGGGCGGGTCACTGGGTCGCACTTTGGCCTTTGCGAAGAACGCGATCTTAGGTCGCGATGAGAAGCTGCAGAGCCTCCTCAACCAGCTGGAGAAGCTGTGCCAAAGTGAAAACCGGCTGGTTGCGGCGGAGACATGGGCGGAGACAAAGCGCACCGCGCATCGGATGGATCAGGTCAACGATGGCGTGGAGAGTTTAGTGCTGGGGCATGAGACTTTTCGTAATGAATTCCTGGAGGAAATGCAGAAAGTGCGGGAGACGGTGACCGCATCTTCAGCGAGACAAGAGAGATCAACGACAGCAGTCCGGGAGATTCTCAAGCCCTCGGTGCATGCAGCCGACGCATATCAAACTCTGGCAAAGAAGAGGGTGTCAGGAACGGCAGACTGGATCCTCGACGAACCATTCTTCAGACAGTGGGTGGCTGATGAGGTGCAGACGCCGCTTCTGGCTGTTGTCGGTAGCCCAGGGAGCGGGAAGTCGGTCCTTTCGCAACGCTTAATCTCCTACTTGACCGAGTTGCAGGCCGAGAGAGAAGATCGGAGTGACTCCATCGCGTATTTCTTCTTCAGTAATAGCGACACCGAAACTAAGTCGTTCAATCAGGCGCTCCGGGATTGCGCTCACCAGGTTTACCAAAACAATGCGGCGTATAAGGCATACCTTGAAGCCAACCTCAGCTCTCCAGACGACATCAAGACTATCCGCAGTGCATGGAGAATGCTATACTCTCAGCACTATGAGTCAAAGCAAAGACCAGCCAACCGGTTGATTCTGGTTCTCGATGGTCTCGACGAAGCCTTTCAGGCCGACCGAGAGCAGTTCTTCGAGCTGCTGTCAGATCTACCTTCCGGGGCTGGTGAGTACCCGCTTCATCTGCTTTTCATCCGACACGACTAATCAGTTAAAGCGTCTGCGATCAAGCTTCTTCTAGTTGGCAGGCCTGAGATCTACGCAGAGCTCACCCTTGCGACCGGCCCCATACCATGCATTCAGGTTGATGCAGCGAAGAACTCTGCTGACATCCGAGCATTAATTGAAACCACCATGCAACGAACTCGTGTCTTCAGTCGTATTCCCCGAGACCTTTCTTCAACAATCCAGGACCAACTCATTGAAAAGTCTCAGGGAATGTTCTTGTGGGCTGACTTGATGCTGCGCGAGTTGAGCCGCAGGACCAGAGCGAGCAGCATGCTGGAGAGCCTACAAAGAGCGCCAAAGGGACTGGACGAGATGCTCGAGCATGTTCTGCGGGGCTTCAGCGCCAAGCTCGACCCTGAAGAAGCGGAGAATCTGAACACGATGCTGGCATGGCTCACCTGCTCAGACGTTCCGCTAAGCTTGCGTCAGTTAGACTACATTCTGCAGTACGATTCGACGGGCGGAGATGTAGTCTTTGACCTCGAAACCATGCTCCGAGTACAATACGCTTCGTTCTTTCTGCTCCTTCGGGACGATGGCCTGACTACGGCTGACCTTCAGGGGGCGGAAGTCGCCGCCTACCTGGCCGAGGGTCGGACGAGAGATGATCTCCTCGAATTCCAGTCGAACAAGGGGACCACCCGTGTCGTATTCCGTCACGCGTCGATCGGTGAGTACCTCCGCAATCCCGAGTACGGAAAAGTGTGTGATGGCCCTAGTTATGTGTCTGTTGGTGTGAATATTATCGAGGCGCAGACCCATATCCTGACACAGTGCTTGAAACTGTTCCAAGAGGGCTTTGCGGAGGATGAGAACAAAGACGGTCGGGTTTCGCTTATCATCCACGCGCAGAGTCAGTGGCTGAATTACTTGAGGAAGCTGATCAGCAACAACCAGCTTGATCCACGCAGCAAGACCGAGATGAGATCTCTGCTCCTCAGACTATTGTCGGCTCCGGACTGCGTGCATTGGCTGAACCCGGATGACTGGGAGTTCTTCGCTTCCGGGGATTACCACCTGATTGAAAGTTTCTTGGATGGTCCGATGTGTTCAGTCGACCAGGGCGATGACGAGATTACAAGATGGTTGGAATCATGTCGCCAAAAGCCGGGCGGCTTCTTCTCAGCCATGGCCGAATATGCTACCGAGAGCTGGCTAAGAGGGAGCATCTGGTCAGCCTCAGAGTGCTTCCGTCTCGTATGGGCGGTCAAAATCATCTCCGAAAACGGCGATGTAAATATTGTGCGCGAGACCCCCAGTACAGAAACCGTGCTTGAGGTCGCTCGATGGACGAAGCTGGAAGAAGACGCACTGTGGCATGAAGGGGTCGGGAACTGCCTCTCCAATCTAGGGCACCTGGACGATGCAAAACATTACGCGGAAATGTCGCTGAGCCTGCAACCAAAATCAGCCGCTGCGAGTCTGGACATTGCTCGAATATACCTGAAACAACACAAGCGCGATGAAGCAATCGAAATCTACCGTGAAACCGAGAAACTGTACACAAAGTCGCTGCTAGAACAGCAGGAGCCTGACCACGAGGATTCCGATCTTGACATGATGGTGTCACCCTACCTCGTTTCGAGAGTGCGATTAACTCTGTCGGAGTTGTACTTCGAACAAGGTGACTGTCTCGAGGCCGCACAATGGCTCCACTCGTGCTTACAACTGGAACCATACAGCATTCGCATCCGCAAACTTGCCGAAGCGTTGATTTACCGACTAAGCATGCCCCCATACGGCAATCATGCGGAGATCATGTGCTTGTTGAGGTCGATGGATCGTAAGCCTGAGAACCATACCGAGACAGTTCTAGACGATTTTCTCATTCACTATAAACGGGCGGATAATCGCTTTCTCGAGGCCTGTGCGACTGCCGCCCACGCCACAGACGCCTTGGAATGGCTGGCCGATCGATATCGACACGCAAGAGCAGCTGCATTGGAAGACTTGCGGTCAACCGTTGTCGTTTCTCTTGACGTCTGCCTAGCCCATCTTTATGGTAGATTCATGAGCGAATTCGACAAGGCAAAGGCACTCTGGAGGCAAATTCTGAGTCTGCCTCGGGTGGAAATGGACGGTCACTGGGAGATGACCCAGTCGAGATCGGTCGCTGAGTCATCCTATGCATACCAACTATATGTGGACGCTTTGAAGGACCTTGATACTGGATCCTTTTTGCACGAAGTCACCGGTCTCGCCAGATGGTTGCTGGAGGTACCCTTCAACCGCGACACAACTATCGCGAATCAAGCCGGTCTCTATCTAGGGCGTTGGCACCTGGATAATGGAGACACGGACCGGGCAAGACCATATTTCCGTGGTTATATCAAGATTTCCCTCGCGCGTGTCCAGGATATTGACCCTGCTTGGAGAGCAGATGCACTCTACAAGCTTTTCACAATTCTGGCCGCGGCAGATGACGACGCCAACGCTATTTCTCTGTTTCATGCAATCCGCGATGCACCACAGGACAGCCGTGATTCCACCCTTCCAGATGACTGGCTTCTTCCGTGGGCATGGTGCTGCGATGTCTGCAAGCAGGAGTATGATAGTTCTGCTCCCTGCAATAAGTGTCGGGTGTGCGCAGCAGATCTTTGTCCGGGATGCTTCGCGTTGGTGCAGCAAGGTACAGCGAGTGCTCGGGTTTGCGCCCCGAATCATGCCTGGCTTTCTGTTCCATATCCATCAGTCCTTCCTGAGCAGGGCTTTATCATGGTGAAGGGCTCTCCGATGCGTATTGATACTTTTCTCGCGGAGCTGGGTCGATCCTGGGAATGAAGGTCTATCTCGTCGCGCAAGATACATAAACCACACGTAGGGCGTAACCGAGATGGTTCGCTTCCGTGAGGCTCGGCCGTTGTCTGGGGGCTTCGACTGGCTTGCTGTCTACATTGTAAGCGTTTCTTCATTCGCGTTATCAATTAGACACCCGTCTTTGTCGCTTATGATCACTTGTGCAATTGCTGTAAATAGATATCAGCGGATTCTAAGCCCTCGCACCTAGCCACTTGAAAAGACTCGAATGCGTTGTGTGAAATGGGAAACTCGTAAATCCGGGCCTATCTATCACATGTCAATCTACAAAACACAAGTCCTCTATCGCTGGTATAATCCCCAACCAATAAACGTGTCTGGGCACAAGTGTCTACCAGAAATATCGTGGAGAATGATCCCGCCGACCGTTTGTTCGCACGCACCGCAGCGGGGCGCCATTGCCGGATTGGGGGGTGGTTTGCGAGGCGGGAAGCCCTAATTTCTCCGGTGAAGTTCTCGACTGGTCGGCAGCGTTGTATCTCCGCGGCAAAAAACGAAGAAAAGATATAGAATGTTGTCTATCTTCATGATTCCTGCTATTGACTTCAATGATACATTCCAGCAGCGGATGGGGTTTCTGACAACTCATTCTTGGTAACATCCTATTTTATCAGATCATGACAGGGTAGTCAAACACCGGCATTCCTGGTAGTTACTGCTGCTAGTCTGATAACGAAGAGTTGCAGCTCGAAATTAACCCCTCCACGCTAGTGATAGCACGGTCAAATGTCTCCGCTAATCTAGCAAAGCCTTCGCCCCAGGCCTTTTAAGCAGTGGCCCCTCCCCATTGCGCTTCCAGTTTTCACCGCAGGTTGCAAAGGCCTCCACTGGTCCACCTCGATCAAGTGACAATGAGTCGCCTCACGTCTTTTGTCCTTTTGCTAGCGACCATCTGCAACATCACCGCTTTTGCACTTGGAGCAGCCACCTTGGCAGACTACCTCAACCAACGCAGCTACCTCCTGGCTCTCGTCCCCAAAGCCGAGGTCCACGACAGCGCTTATATTGGGGCTGCTAGTTACAACATTTGCTCGAGCTTTCTGTCCGCCTTGATCCTTCTCATCGTGCTCATCGTTCAAGTGCTCCGGCGCACCATTGGCTACCAAGTCTTGATCGCCGGTGCTATCATTCCAAGTCTCATCGGCTTTGTCAACGCGCTCACCTTGACCATTATCACGGCGACGAAGGTGGTGTCGTTTGGGGATAGTGTCGGGCCGCGCGTGACTACCTACTTGGATGAGGCTGCCGATGGCGATGGGGTCCCCCTGGAATATCGAAAGGATGCTGTGTCCATCGCGGCTGTTGTGATTGCCTGGCTTGGGTGGGCCTGTTCTGTGGTTGGGTGAGTTCTCGCGCCTGTTTGTAGGGGTGTGACTGCTGATCGCAAGTAGATGTGTGTTGTTACTCAAGACTTGGCAGAAGAAACCCCTGAAGCCGGCTTCGTTAGAATCTCGGGATGAGAAAGCTGCTTGGTCTGAGGATGGCAGTGAACATGGTCGAGCTTGAAGTAAGAGATTTCCAGAGCCAATCAGTATCGGGGCGCGGACTATGGTTGGCTGTCCACAAGGGAATCTTTCTTTCTTGTGCTTCAGGCAGAGGAAATGGCCTTCGGAATTGCGCACATTGCTCGGTGCTGAGAACATGTTCCTAGGTAGAATTCACGAGAGACTATTACGTCGTCGCTATGATGGTGAAACTGTTTTATTTACCTTGGCCGAGAGACTCAGGTTTACTTGACGTTTGATGTCCGTAACTCAGTCAAGAAGCGGAAGTTCCTGGCTCAAGATTGTCACTGACAAATCATGTCATTTCTCACTGAGCCTAGCCGAGACTAACAAATTAAATGAGTGAACTGTCTGGTGACTTCATCATGTCACAGGTGTCAACACCATCGGCGGTTTCGGGTGGCTTATGTAAAGCTTGCATCAACCTGACAACTTCGCCGTATCTGACTCTCATTATGAACTTGAGGCTCGCCGCATGGCATGTGATTGATGTAGGGTTCAGAAGCTGCGATGCTCTGAGTCTGGACTAGGGAGCCCATGCGAGCACTGTCTGAAGGCGGGGCCCGAGTTTACGAGCAGTATCTCTCATTCCAGGTGCACGCTCGATCAGCCACTGGTGCTCGGAGATGTCGGTTGTCTCGGATCTATGAACCAAGTCAGCCGCTATCCGCTAATACAAAGCTATCGCATTGATTCCCGGAGCGAGGGGGAGTATAAGTAGCCGGCGACAATCCATCGGTCTGTGGCAACTAGCCAGACCAGTCAGAGGCAGCTGCCCGCCTTAGAGCCTCTGACTAGACACCGGAACCCGCAAGGCCCTCGGCGTTAGAGCATAGGACACAGCCTTCAAACGATTTTGTGGGGGAATTGGAACGCAACAGGGCCGGAGCGATGCCAGCGTTCATCACGGCCATCACGGTGCGGTTGTTCGCTTTTGCGAGTAAGGCCGGGAGGCTTTGGCGGAATCGACGTCGCTCAGGTCGAGGGGCAAAACGAGGACTTTTGTGTCCTTCACATGCGCCCACACTGGTGATTTCTGTTTACAAGGATGAGTTCTTGTAGGTGGCAGAAGTCCATCGCCCTTCACAAGCCGGAACGATCAACCCTCCAAGCTGAGTAATCAGGCTGTCAGGGTTGACGACCCAGCAAATTACAGCATTTCTGTGTTCTTCACAGGACCTTCCTTTTGTAGTTAAGTTTTCTGTTTGTTGCACTAGTGGTTGCAGTCGTAGCAACATTCATCCATAACTTCGGGGTCCAGAACTGCCGGTAGGCTATGGCTCGATGTGGTCCATCCTATCACCTCTTGGCAAACTTGAACTAACCAGTGGAAGCTATACACATCCAATAATACTCTTCTCCTGGTTCTTGGGGGTAATAAGAGTCAGCAGTCGTGCATCCGAAGACCATGGCCTATAATTCCACGTGGAGTAGAATTCGGGTCCGGGTACATACCATTGGCGCGATACCATGGTCCAAGATTCTTGACAGTGCGTGTACAGACAAGGTAGTGAGATAAGAAATTCGCCACATGGTCCAGATACCGTGAAGCGTGGTGAAAGGGTCACATAAGCTGGCAACTGGCGCCCGTGCATACTTCACACCAAATCCCGAATGGCTGACGTGTCTTGAGGCAACACGACTTGGAGCCCTGCATAATCGATCCCACATGACTGAAGGAATGCTCTGAAATGTAAGCGCGACGCGGTTGAAGTGATTCGAGATCTGCTGATTTGATCTGATCTGATCTGATCCCATATGGGTATCTGACTCCTCTTCGCTGAACCCTAGCGCTCGCTGGCTTTATGACGTGCCGAAGAGAAGCATCAGAATCGGTACAAGAACCCCCAGATCATCTGGGTACGGCTGGACATTCAAAAGGTGATCTTCAAAGCGAAGGGCTCCGCCAAGCTGGTGACGGTCGTAGCCACCGTGGTGTACCGGAAACTGGCCGAAAAACAGGCCAAGATTAACCAGATCTACCAGAGCCTGTATCCCAATGGTCGCCAGGCGCTGACCATGGACCTGGACAAGATCGATTGAACGAGGGCTCTGCTTCTGGAGCTTGGAGCTTAGACAGTGTACCGCACGAGATTTATTCAAAGTCCAGATAACAATATCCGTCGAATGCCCCTGTAATCCTTTTCTAAAAACTGGGTAGCTGTGATGCACGCAGTGTCAATGCGACCCGACAAATCAGCACTCCCAATTGGCTTTGCGCTGATGTTCACCTTGGCCAAAGCCGGACCCTCAGCTTCGGCCGAGCGGTCGCCTCCCGCTACCGGCAGTCTTGTTTGCTGCCATCCCATACTACACATACAGGCTATGGTAGTTCAATGCCCGACGGGTTTCGATTGACAAAGCCGCTCGGGCTTATGACGGGATTCGCATAGAACCCCCATTGACCCCGATGCTCATTCCCGGTTGACCCCACCCTGTTATCTCATGTATCAACCTAGCCTGGTACAGTACGTCGGTCGCTGTCTCTCCGCAGCGAGGGTAGGCTGCATGATGCGTGTTTCCGCGCTCTTGGTGCCCGACAATAGGACCGATGTCACGCCAGGTAGACAGAAGAAGCGACCAGAGGGAGTCCGTCTTCTACGGCACGCTGGGATGATGAGCTTATCACCTGGTGAAGATAGCTTATACGTAGACTCAAGGATCATGCCCATCGCCATGAGAGAACATCTTCTCCCGCTGATGACCTCGTCATCTGTATAACTGTCAAGTAAGGTGGATATTAGGAATGTTCAATCAGAAATGGCTTTTCAAATAGTCTAAAAAGGGGTATATTCTAAGATCTAGTATACAATGCATCGCGGAAAGACTCAAATGAAAGAAGACAAATGGACAACCCCATCCGACACCCAACCTAGACCTTCTACTTCAACCATCAATCAAGGCCTTCATAAGACCCTCATAGCCGAAGACCAATCTACCCCCCGAACACCCTCCCCTCTGACCAAACCCGCAACCTCCCGCCCCAATACCAGAAGCCCACCGGCACCGGCACCAACACAACACACACTGCCCCGAGCACCGTCGTCGCCTCCGCCACCCCCAACCCATGCAGCATCTGGGTCGCAAACAGCGGAAATGACGCCGCAAACACACTGCGCATGGCGCCGTTCACCCCCAGCGCACTGTTCGCCATCGCCGTGTAGCAGTCCACAATGTAACTAAACCCCTGTATGAAGAGCAGGTACATCCCGCACCCGATAAATAGATTCGAGCAGACAGAACTCGCCCAGTAGATGACCGGGCTGGCCGTCCAGGCGTACCAGAACATGCCCACGGGAATAAAGATCGCGCCGAGGATCATCGGCGGCAGGCGGGATTCCGGGATGAATTTGCCGGTGGACGGGTCGTGGCAGTGGTGCCGGAAGTAGAGGGCGTTGTAGAGGATCATGGCGAGGGCGCCGAGGGCGACGCCCACGTTGATACCCAGTAGCGGGAGGGTGTTGAGCCCCGTGCGCCAGCCGCGGAGGTCGCCGTAGGTGTAGGGGTAGGATTGGTAGAAGAGGTAGAGGATACCGTAGAGGATGGATTGGTAGAGGGTTAGGAGGAAGAGGATGGGTTGAGTGGATATGAGCCCTGGTTTCCATCGGTGTTAGGGTTGTGGTGTTGTAGAGGGGGAAAGGGGAACGTACAGAATGGTCGGATGAGGTAGAGTCTCGCGACCTGCGCGAGGCTCAAGCTCTCCTTCTCGGCGGAGACATCCAATGGCTTGTCGATGCTGGGACTTTCGAGGTCCTTTTTCTCGGCTGCTGCTGTTGCTGCTCTGTCAAGGACGATCGGGGGGTAGGTTTCCGGGAACAGCAGCACAGCGATGAGCGACAGCCCCAACCCGCAGATGATGATCACCCACATCGTCCACCGCCAGTGCAGTGAGGACGCCACGATGAAGCCGCCGAAAACGGGGCCGAACGTCGGGCCCGAGAACATCAATCCGACGGCGATCGCCATCGCGGTGCCCCGCTGCGCCGTAGCGAAGCAATCGCTCACAACTCCTCCCATCACCGCGACAGGCGAGATCCCGAACAAGCCGGCGAAGAAGCGCCCGAGGAGGATGGTGGTGATGTTGGTGCCGAGGGCGGGCATCAGCTCGAAGAGCGAGGAGATGGTGACGCCGATGATCAGCGGCCATTTGCGGCCGAACTTCTCGGACAAGGGTCCGAAGGTGAGGAAGCCGAAGATGTAGCCCTAAGTTCCGGTAAGTTTCCCGCACGCATTGACGTATTGCTGAAGCAGAATCATACCACGAGGAATAGTGTTGTCGTGAGAATAGCGACTTCTTGGTCAATGTCGAATTGTTGCATTATCTCTTTTTGCCCCGGACTCAGAATACTGCTGGCCGCCGTGCCCAGGATGTTCATGAGGCCAAGGATGACGATTGTCCGGACCTTCTTGGTCATGGCCCAGTTCTGGGGGTGATCAGGGTCGACATGATCAGACTTCGCCAAAGCGGTGTCGAGTCCATCTGTGCCCTTCTCAACCACGTCAATCGCCGCGGGAAGACTCATTTGATGCTGATAGTAGGTATGTATAGGAGCGATCACGGCACGTGACCTGCGACTGTCCACAAAAGAAAATGCAAATCAAAGAGATCAGAATGCATGGACCTGATTGGCCGTTTGATTATCCCTGCTAGATCCAAGTCACCATGCAGATCACCAGCATCTAATTTGTCCTACACCGACAACACGCTTGCATACACCACTTAGAACAGGCCTCGACCCATCCCTGTCGTTGAGACATTGAGGGCGTATATATTCTGGACCACCTGCATTTCTACCCCAATTCTACACTGAAAATTGCCTGACTCAACTGTTGCCCGTGAGGGGGAGATACAATCCTGTGAGGGGAAAGCGAAAATTTTTCCATGGCGGGCTTGGACCGTGGCGGCTCGTTCTGCTTTATTCAGCGTGAAGGAAACCGGAAGTGGGGCGCCAATGAGGGGGAATACCGACAACGTGGGTTTTGATGGGGGGGGGAATTTGAGTGTGCGTTGTGCCATCCGCTTGGGTCAGCACAAAAGCCGCGAGGGGGCGAGGGGGGAACGAGGGGGGGAATTCGGCAACCCGATCAAATCCCGAGATAGAGCCACGCCAAGCCTCGTGGCGGAGATGTATCGGCGATCCATCGGTCATGTCAACTTTGCGGTTGTCCAATGGTATACATGCTTTGAGAGGTTGTTGTATACTTTTTCACCAACAAGAGAAGAATTGGGCTTGCGGAGTGGATTGACAGCTGCAGATCATCTTTGTCAGTGGATCCAATCCTGCCATTATCCATTCGGGGAGATTATATGCAATGCGCTACTCTAGGGAGCATTGACTTGGCTTGTGCTGCAAAGCATAATGTTGTGGAGATCTCCTGTAAGGGTATAGGGTGCAACAGAGACTAAAGCTAATATCGCGGATAAATCCGCCGATCAGACATGATATAACAGTGGCACCCAAAGTTATCCTGAAATGTTTTGTCCCATGCATTCTTTACTTATCCTCTACTAGGATAGTCACCAGTCTAGCTCCTCAGACAAGGGCCTACTTTCGGAGTCAGTTGTGATACAAGGAAGAATGCAGATTCTCTCTGCGCCATCAACAGACTGAGACAAGGACAACTCAGGACGAACAAAACCGCCGTCAAACAACTTATCGTCCTTTCAAACTCAATGAAAAGTTCACTCAGTCGACCAACAACCAATAGAATCTCCCTCTATTCTGATTCAACTCAAAGATAAACTCAGTAAAGCATGTCCTTACTCAAAAGCCACAACACTTATAAGAATCATGAGGTTTGCTTGCCAAAAGACTGGGCAGAGTCACAACTACTGGCAGCATCTCTCAAGCAACACATCATCTCAGCCACCGCAACACAAGACCAAGCACCATGGACTCGACCGCGCCCCGTCGCAGTGAGCCCTACACCCACGCCTGGCTAGCATCCACGGCAGCCAAGACATCCTACATCCTGGACAACTTGCACATCCCGCACGTCATCTGGGGCGACGCCGTCTTCGGCTACCTGGGCCTGCAGCTAACGATCACCAGTTCGGACTACGTAATCGAAGACGAGTTTTTCGCCGTCGCCGTACACACCCTGTCCACCTTCCCCGAAGGACTGGACTTCTGCTGCCAGGCCCCCGACCCTACCGATATCACCAGCACTAACACCTCACCCCCCTGCACCTGGCACTCGCACCCCCGATCCAAAGGCACCCTCCTGCCAGACGCGCACTTCATCGTCAACGACAAGCACCACCTGCACCTATACCGCAAATCCCGACTCCTGTGGTGGGTCCCGCGGCTGCAGGAACCTCGCGACGAGGAGGACTCCCTATTCATGTGCACCTGCGACCCGCGACTGCCCCCGCCGCGAGCCACGGAGCACCGGGGCGGACCGGGACGGGGGCCCACCGACCTGGCCGCGACGCACTACCCGGTGCCCATGCTGAAGCCGCACGTCTACGCGGCAGCGCTGGTGTTCCTGGCGGTCCGGAATGTCGCGCACGAGATCGAGGCGCACTGGGACAATGAGCTGGACAAGATGGCCGCGGCAATCGCCGTGTGCCCGCTGTACCGGCAGCGGGATGTCCCGGATGTGTTCTTGGAGTTCGTTGCGCGCAGGGAGGATACGTATGTCTCGTTGACGATCTTCACGGCGCTGTGGCGGCAGTTGCAGGAGCGGATGCCCCCGGCGGAGGGGGAGCCCGTCAAGGATTATAGACGGCGGCGCCGGTGGTTGGAGAAGTGGAGGGGGGGTGACTTGCCCTGTTGATTGGGGGATTTGACCCCGGGTTCGGATGTAGAATCAAGGACTGGTTTTTGGGTCGTCTTGCTTTTTCTAGTGTAATGATTTAACAAGTTAATAAGATCTATGATGAGAATCTAGTTCCTCAGTTATGATTTTTTCCTCTGTGCCCTTCTTTCTTTCTTCTTTTCTGGGGCTTTTATGTATTGGGCTTATCTTTCGGTTCGACGATTAATTTATTTCCACGTGTGTCTGCTAGCTGTATCCGACATGTAGTTATGATTCTCTGTAAAACACCTAGCAAGAGTTTTCATGCGTAAACAATGGCTCCCTTCGTGATGAACCTGAATGACAAAAAATCTTATCTGCCAACGCTCCTCTACCATACACAACAGTAAATCCGCACTCAGCCTTAAGAGTGGTCCGGTCTGCACGGAACACGTGCTTTGTTAAAACAACACCCTTAATACCGTCCCATACCCCTTTCGTAATGCTGATACAGTTCATACCGGAGCAGTTCAGCCAAACCTGTATCAGACCGGAAGAAGTGGAGCCCTAGTAAGACCGCCGCCCGTGTCCATTGGACCAGGAATGTCGGTGCCTACGCGTCCAGCCGCGGACGCACCAATGACCAACTGCCACCCAGCCCTGTAAGGCTGAGGAGGGGGAGGTCCGTCGGTCGTCCTTTTCCAAGGTTCCAAGTTCTTGTCGAGGGAGGTTGTTTGGGTGAACAAACGTGGTAAACATGCCCCTTAAGTGGTATTTTTTACTTGTGCAATGGAAAGGCTGAGGTAAGGGGATGGTCACGTCATATGTGCGGGGTTGGTTTTCAACATTCTCCGTAGGGGAATTGAGTTCTGCATTTATTCTGACCATGTCCTCACAGCAAGCAGTTGCATTCATATTTGCTGAGTTCGTACAAAAATAGTCATGCGGTGTATCTGAAACCTATATATACCCAGCGAAAGTAGATCACACTGAAAACTCGATTCCCAGCTCATCCTTCTATTATCCAAGAAAACCCACCAGCTAGCGAACACAAAACGCCAGCGTAAGGATAGCATACCTAGACAGAAACCACAAGTCAGCCACAACCACCACCACTCAAACAAACGCAAATGTAAACGGAAAACTCACATCGCAACCAACGCCACCCCGTGCACAACGCTATACCTCCCCCCACGCAGCACCCCATTCACCAGCAGCACCGAAAAGAACAATACCACTACCTCAAACACATCGAACACCAGACTCATCGGTTTCGCCAGCACCCACCCCAGCAGCACCAACACCGGCATCCCGAACAACCCCAGATGCACCACATTCTGCACCACCGCACACACCGCACCATCGACCTCCTGGTTCACCGCACTGCCGCGAATCATCGACACGCCGGTGGCGCCCGTGGTCGCGAGTGGGACGAGCGTAGCGGCTATCAGGGTCTTGCTGAGGGGGAGTCGTGCCGCTGTGATAACCAGTGTATCGGTGAGGAATTTAGAGCAGATGATGGCGGCCAGGGTTGCGAGAGTGAGGACAAGGGCTGGTTTCGCGTTGCCTGATGCGGTGCGAGGTAGATCGTGGGCGGTGTCAGCGTCTGCATTTACCTCATCGGGGTTTTCGGTCCATTGTTGCCGCGGGAAGAGATGCCGGTGCGTTCCGAGCTGGAAATACAGGTATCCCGCATACACGCCCAGCAGCACCGCGGAGACGCCGCGCGAAAAAGCCACGGTGCGGTCGCCGAGTTCGTAGGGGAAGCTCGTGGCCAGCACGGAGGGGAGCACGAGGACCGTGGATGTCGCGAGCATGAGGGAGGAGAGGGTGTTGGTGGTGGGTTGGTTGAAGTAGAGAAGGTCGCTGCGGTAGGAGGCGGCGATCATGCTGCACCCCAGGATCTGTTGTAGGGCATATGGTGAGGAACAGAATGTAGAAGCGCGTTGACGGTCGGTGAGGGAGACGATGCTTACCAGCAGGATCTCGGACAGGATGGTCCCGATGGCCAGGCTTTGCGCCACATAGATCTCGCGGCTGGCAACCGCCCAGGCTCCTAGCTGAAGCGATGGGTTAGCTTGTTTGTCGCTCTGATGAGTGCAGTAGTAGAGGGTGACTCACGCTCAACCCGACTGCTTTGCAGGGCACGGTGTTGATCAGTGCACCTGTCCATGTGTTCGTCTGGGCTGTGAGCTGTTGGGACGAGTCGGAGATGATAGCCGACAGGGCAATGATGGCAAAAAGGTTATAGATGAAGACGAGCACCGGGTTCCATTGAAGGTATCCGGCCACGAGGGCCAGCGGGAGAAAGCATATTGGTGAGTAGGCCCCGGATCGGATGGCCGTTGGCAGTTGGCGACGCGGTGCTTGGGGGGTGTGGGTAAGGGGGCGGCCAGGATCGGCTTTCGAGGGCGACGGGGAGTGATTCTTGAGCAATGGGTCGGATTCGTCTCCCGGGGAGGGCTGATTGCCAACTGAAGAGGCCATGACGGTTCCTGCAGTGGCAGCCGATGGGTTCGAAACAGCTCTAGGTTGAAGAAGAGAAGAAGAAGAAGAAGAAGTGACTTAGTCAATTCAAGTCCGATCGAAGCTGGTTTACATAAGTTACCCTAATGACCCTGGGTGACAATACACACCGTTACGGAACGGTAATTCGGGCGGGGATACTATTTTGGTCCAGGGCTGAATTAACCGTCGGGAAGGCCAACTGCCGTCACTGCCTGCCCTCCTCCGGATATCCGGCTGTTTGTGACGGGGTTGACTTGGCAGCCTCTGCAAGACACCCTCCATTTGATCAGTCATTGATCCTCCCATGTTGCACTTCATATGTCGAATTTACGGGCAGTCTTGCATAATCCGCGAGTCCGCGAGCTCTGCTACTATGGCACCGGAGACGGTGAGGATGGCTGAAAGGAGGCAGGATGCAACTCAAGGCCGGAGGTCCGATAAGGCGACAGGCGACAGGCGACGGTGCTCGATCAATCAAATCCACGAGAGTTGTCCACAGCCCTACTGCCTAGCGTCTTGGCAAGGGATGATCGGTATCGGTCTTTCTCCAGTTCTCCCACTTCTAATCAGACCAAGGGGGGAGGTCATTCTTGTCCCACTGGGCTGCATCATCATCACCACCACCATCAGCCTCTTCTGCTCTTCATCCCTCCTCCAAGGTGTCTCTCACTGTGCATCGCCCACCGACTCCGACCCGCTCAGGCCAAACCCGATCCATCCGCCTCTAGAAGCTTGACCCAGTTTAACCCCATCACCTTGACGTGCCTTCCCCAAGATACACCCTTCCCACCCGGTCGATTTCCTTCGCGCAACGGTCGGCTTCTCCTACCCGAATCGCCCTCCCACCCCCACCATCCACACATCAAAACCCCCAAATAGATGGAAGACATTTCCTCCACCTCGATAGTAAACACGTTCCGCAACCTCGCGAAACGATACCACACCCACAAACAAACCGAGACGGCGAGCCAGGTGGAGGCGGTGGTGGACCAAGTGCTGCGGCAGGATCCGGATGACCCGAGTGCGGCTCTGGTGCGCTTCGGAGCCCTAGTTCTCACCTTTCTGGAGCAAGGGCAGTGGAGCGCAGCCGTCGACGTGGGCAATGTGGTTGTAGACACCCGAGGGGCGCTGTTGGGCCCAGATAATCCGGCCACTCTCACCGCCATGCATAACCTGGTCTCCGCCTACTGCGGACAGGGCCGATGGAGCGAGGCCATCGAGCTGGGGCGGCGCGTGGTCGAGGCCCGGCAGACGGTGCTGGGCATGGACAGTCCGCAGACCATGGCGTCCATGTCCAATCTGGCGTCGGCGTATCGCAACAAGGGCCACCTGCGCCAGGCTGAGTCGCTGGAGAAGCAGCTCCTCGAGCTGAAGACGAAGATCCTGGGACCCGACCACCCCTCCACGATGACCTCCATGAGCAACCTCGCGACGACGTACACGTACATGGGCCGGTACGACGACGCCGCCCGGCTCGAGCAGAGCGTCATCGAGCGCAGCGCGCGCGTGCTTGGCGCCCGCCATGGCTCCACCCTGACCTACAAGTCCAACCTGTCGGTCACCCTCCGGGAGCAGGGGCGGTTGGACGACGCCGAGAAGCTGGAGTCCGAGGTCCTGGACGCGAGGATCGCGAGTCTGGGCGTCCAGCACCCGCTGTGTCTCACGTCGATGGCCAACCTGGCCGCCATCTATCGGGATCTGGGCCGGTTCGAGGAGGCGGAGCAGTTGGAGGCGCAGGTGGTGGAGAGGAGCCAGGATCGGCTGGGCGGCGATCATCCGCAGACGTTCATGGCCATGGTCAACTTGGCCACCACTTGGCGGCTGCAGGGACGACTGGACGAGGCGGCCGGCCTTGGAGCGCGGGCCGTCGCTGCTATGAAGCAGCAGCTGGGCGACCTGCATCCGCTCTGTTTGACGGCCATGGCGGAGCTGGGGTTGATCTTCCAGAGCCAGGGGCGCACGCGGGAGGCGGAAGCACTCACGGCGCAGGCGTTGCGGGGCATGCAGAAGGCGCTGGGAGACAGCCACCCTCATTGTTTGACGACCGTGGCCAATCTAGGGGCGATCTATCAGTCGCAGGGCCGGTGGAAGGAGGCCGAAGCCCTGGCGGAGCGGGCGGCGCGCGGCCGCGAGAAGGTCCTCGGCAAATCACATCCGCTTACGCTGGCGTCCATGCAGGATCTTGTCCGGGTGTGTCAGGTGCTAGCTGCGGATAGGACGACGGACACACGCGTGAGGGTTCCGGGTTGAGGGGCATTGGGGATTGACGGCGTTATCCTGCGTTATCTGACGAGACATGATTCCATATTGAGGGGGCGCTTAGTTAGCGATTCATTTAGGTGAATATTGCGTTATTGAAGACAGCAAGTTAAGTCACCAAGGTTGAGAGTATCCCAATGCAATAGCAGTGAGGCATTATGATCGAACGAGATCGTGTGTGGGATAAGAACAAAATTCCACGTTGAAGCAGGATTGTGGCTGAGGCCAGTTAAGGGCTGCACTGCCTCCTTGCCAAGACTTGCTGCTGCACTAGTGGGGGGGACCACCTGCCAGTTGGCTCTAGAATCAATATTACATTACTACTGTAAAGCAACGTTTCCATCTCAGAATTATATTATCTATTAGGCTAAGATAGAAGTTAACTCAACACACTTCTGCTTTGAACCAGCAGATACCATCGGATTCGCTTCCTAAGAACGCGAACCCCTCCAAAAAGCCCTCGGAGCGGTTGTAACCGTTTACAGGTTACCCTGACCGGCGCTGGAGGCAGGGCCGGTGCCAGCAGCGGTGGGGGTAGGGAGAGAGTCGCCGTTGAATGCATCGAGCGCAGTGGTGGAGGTGCCAGTGAGGTCACCGCCGTTGGAGTTGGCGACGCAGGAGCGGCCGATGTAGGAGGAGCAGGTGGAGGAGGCACTGTCGGAGGAGAAGAGGGCACCCTCGAAGGAGCTGGACTCGAGAACGGTGTCCACATCCTCGAAGTAGTTACCCTCGGCAAGGACGTAGCCGCCGGAGCCGATCTCGAAGGCGTGGCCGGAGTTGTCGTTCCAGTAGTTGTTGTAGATGTGGAGGTAGGTGTTGTCCTGAACCTTGGGGGCACGGCCGCTGGTCTTGTACAGGTAGTTGCCGGCAAAGGTGACCTTGTCGCTGGAGCCATCGAGATAGACATTCCAGTAGTGATGGTTATCGCACGTTGCGGAGTAGTCGGATTCACCGTCGATGTAGTTGTTGGTGATGGAGACGCGGTTGTCGGCGGAGGTGCCGAGAACGTAGTGCTGACGACCAATGCGAGCAGTCTACCACAATAAGGTTAGATGGGAAAGTTAGATCAAGAGATTAGATATAAGATAAGATAAACTCACGGTAACGTGATCAATCCAGACAAGGTCCGCGTCGTCAAGGGTGATGGCATCACCACCCCAGACGTACTTGGCGTTGATATCAGTGACAGCGATGTTCTGGATGATAATGTTGGAGACACCGCTAACCATGCGGAGACCCTTGCCCTTGATGACACCGGAGGTGCCCTCGCCGATCAGGGACTTGTTGGATCCGACAGTGATACCGAGGGAACCGGCGTTATCGTAGGTCACCGAGACGGAGGGAGCAGAGGACTCGTAGTTCGTGCACCAGTCATCCTTGTTGATAGCCACCTGACACCCTGACGCAGTTCCCCAAGGTGCACATCCCGTGGCAGTAGTGGTTCCCTCAGTGTCAGTGAAGTCAAAAGTCTTGCTCAGGACAATGACACGAGCCTCGTCGTCACCGAGATACGAGACCAGCTCATCGGTGGTGGAGGGGTAGACGGGAGTGGCAGAACCACCGCCGGTAGCGGAGGCGGCGAAGCCAACGGGGGTGCCGGAAACACCGACAGCAAGAGCCTGCTGGGCGAGAGCCGCAACGGCGGTGAGAACAGCAGCGTACTTCATCCTGGAAGTTGGGTCTGGTGTGTAAAAAGAATGACTGAATTGAACAAAAGAAAGCAAGGAATAGAGAGGAAAGAACGACAGAGAGTGTGTGTGTTATGAGCCAGAAAGGAAAGGATGTGACTTAGGCTGACGGCTGGATGCTTTTATAGCTCTGATGATGCCTCGGTGAATCCTCCATCCCTTCCCCTTGATCTCTCCTCATGAGACCATGTTGGATCTGTCTCGAGCTTGCTTGGCAAGCCTCACGGAGTCAACGGATAAAACGGAGGAGCATGGTGAGGTCCACGACGAGTGGGGAAGCTGATACTGGGAGAATTGTTCTGTGGGTGGGTCCGAGCGAGAAGACTCAGGGTCAAGAGAGCAATAAACAATTTAGAGTAGTTGCTGAACACCTTAACATCGAGTCCAAGGTTGTGGGTCCAGAAGCCGGTAATGCCACTGTCGATCGGTGGGCGCTGGATTGCGATCGGCCGCGTAAAGGCAGGAAGCGCTGAAACACACCCACCAGCCACGGCCAGTCACTGTGGGCGACGGCTCGGAGATACGGCCAAGAGCAGTAGTGGAGCCGCCGGTGCTTAATGTCTGATTCTGATCTCGTTTCGCATTGATGGCGGCTGCCGTGCGGGTTTCGTAGCTCAAGCGCTATCGCACCGCGGACTGTTGGCGGGCACCCCAGCTTTTCCGTGGGAGGAGGTTGCATGACGTGGCCCGTCCAGGCTGCTGTGAGACTAGACTCAGTCATCGAATTTGGACGAGACGGAGACTGCCCGAGGAAGGTGATACAGGGATTCAAGGCTTTCTTTGTGACGGACTTCGAGTTAGGGCTGCTGCTTGCCTAAGGCTTCCGTCAAACGACCCATCACCCACAAGTAATCAATCAACCATCACAACAAATGACGAAAGATTGCAGATGATGATCCTCCTTAAGGTTAAAATCTCTCTCAACGACTCTAAGCCTCATTCGGTAAAGCTCTTAGACGGGTGGTGACATTCTCCATTTTTCCAGTTCCTGGTTGAGATTAGCGGCAGGCACTGGGGCCACCTGCTCTCCACTGTGAATCGGTGGTTGGTTCTGTGCAGTGGAGATTCTCCCTCCCCTGGCCGATCATCCCAACTTAAGTGTAGTCGCATATTTTCTCTACATGTGTATGGATGCAATGCATTAATATCAGAATCCCATTATTATTGTCGTTACTTGCGTCTCGCACAGTATTCATGACTGTGGTCTAGAGGATATGTCTTGAGTGTTTAACTACCAGTTCGTTAAAGTAGAGCTTAGCATCTCGAACAAGAACACGAATATGATCGCACCTTAACCTGAAAGACTCTTTTTGATTAGTTCTGGTGAATTCTTCTTGCGTGTACGGATCATGCCAGATCCCTGAGCACCACGAGCCCACTCTCGCCTTCTTGGCCTATGCTTAATTACAACAGCCCCATCTCTTATCCACCGCCACCACTCGAAAATCCCAACAACCTCATCAATCAATATCCGGAGATTGCGGAAGACACCGGTTCCAGTCGGCAGCCCACCAAAAACAGCAGACAGATTAAGCTTCTTCTCTCGACCTTCTCCGGATGGAACTTCCGTCGACGACAGCCGAATCATTCCTGCGCATGTCTCACCATCGACATCCGCTAGATTAAAGCACGTCATGTCTTACTCTACACGTGGGTAAAGCAGCAAGAGAAAGGGGAGCTTGTCTACGCGGTCCTCGTATCGATTCAGAGCTTTTGCTTCTTGAAGGCAAACTCCCGCATTGGGCCATCAGAGTTAATATACGAGCCGAGACCGGCTTGCGTATGCTCACGGTACACCGCTTGTCGGGTTGGTGGGTTGTCGAATTGAACATGACTCCGTTCTTTGACATGTATGTCTTGCTGCTGAATCAGAGATTTATCATCAGACCACAAAGAACTTTTACAATCAGGGTGATATGGCTCTTGCTGCTGGAAAGCATTCTTTGAGTGAGTACATGGTCGCTGGTCTAAGTTGCTGATTATCTTAAGTCCATAATCTGTCTTCAGTTGTAGAGCTCCCATTGGTGCTGGTCTGTTTTGAGCTAGCATGCAGCTGGCAAGTTGCGCATCGCGCTCTCAGGATTGCATCTGAGACTTGTCCTGGTATGCGGCTAGATATTCGTAATGACATAGGGCTAATGACTCGGAAACGGAGGCTTGAGATGATCTGTTAACATTCACTTCTCATTTCATAGGCTCAGTAGCGGATAAAATGGCTAGAAAGCACGCAGTTTTTTAACAAGCTGACAGAGTCAAATAAGCACCATGGGCTGTTTTGCTCTTCCCTTCTGATCCACGAACATCGAGCCAGACCAGTGTGAATGAAAAGACGTATACTTCCAGACGAGATCTTCGCGAGTATGAACATATATGGTCTCTGAAACTACTGACTAATTTCATGGATCAGCGTGACAGTCCAATGCCATGCAACCCTTGATCAGCTATGCAGAAGCCTTTCTCGTCCCCAGCACAACATCCCGGATGGCGTCGGCCACATATTGCACATTCCTCTCAGTCAACCCACATATGCTCACTCTTCCCGATGGCAAGAGATAGATATGATACTCCTCCTGCAACCGAGCCACCTTCTCCCTATCCAGCCCTGTGTAAGTAAACATCCCAATCTGCTTCTCAACATGGGACCAGTCCCCGGGTGTCCCATTCAATTCCAACCTGCTCCGCAATGCGCTCCTCATCCTCGCAATGCGAGCACTCATCGTCCGCAGATCCTGCTCCCACTGCGCCCTCAAGTTCGAGTCTCCAAGCACCGTCTCAACAATCGTCGCCCCGAAGCGCGGCGGATTCGAGTACTCCGCCCGCGCCATGCCAACTAACTGCGACCGCGCCCCATCCACGCCCATTCCCCTGGGTACCACCAAATGTAACGCGCCAACCCGCTCACCATAGAGCCCGAAATTCTTCGAAAATGATTGCGCTACACAAAGACCCGGATGCTGCTGCCCTTCCTCCTGCCCCGTAGCAAGCAGCTGGTCCGCGAAATCCCGCACCGCCCACGCATCCCCATCAACATCCCCCGTCGCGAACCCTTGGTACGCACTATCAAAGACCACAAACAGGCGCTTGCGGCGCACCACCTCGAGCAAGGTCTCCCAGTGGGCGCGGGTCAAATCCACGCCCGTCGGGTTATGCGCGCAGGCCTGCAGGATGATCACGTCGTTGGGCGCGGCGTGCTCGTCCAGCACGGCACACATCCCCTCCAGATTGACCCCCCGGGTGGTCGGCGAGTAGTACGGGTAGTCGATCTGCGGCACCAAGGTCGTGGCCCAGATGGCCTTGTGGTTCACCCAGGTCGGGGCGGGGATGAAGACGTGCTGGGGCCGCAGGTGCGCGGCCAGTAAGCTGGCGGCTAGGTGGTTGGCGCCGGTGCCGGAGACGGTCTGGATGGAGACGATCTGGTCTTGCATGGTGGCTGTGAGGTGCTTCCCAAAGATCAGGGTTTGGGCGAGGCCCAGGAAGGTGGGGGAGCCGGCGATGGGGAGGTATTCGTGGTTGGGAGGAATGTGGGAAAGGCCAGATTTTGCCTGCGTGGGGTAGAGTGGAAAGTTGGTTAGTTGTAGACCTGTAGGGGTAGTGTATTGTGTTGTGGATATGTAGAAATAGGGTTCTATTCTTGGGAGGTGTTCTGGGTGTCTATGCGCTTACCTGCTCGACGCTGGGGAGGACCCATGGTGAACCATTCTCATCGCGGTAGGCTCCGGCAATGAGGGAAACTTTGTTCGGGTGTGTGTCGGCGTCGTACTTGGCCATGAGGTCAAATGCAATGTCTGGGGGTGTGATGGGAAGGTCGAGGTATTGTCTTTCCATGTTGCTTGGGGAGGTTGCGCTGACGGGGCGAGAGTACGGGGTGCGTTGTGCGGTCGGGGTTGCAGGTCGCTGTCCCGCGTCTGTCAAAATACAAACATGGGCTTGGGCTTGGACTTCTGAGCTTCGGTGGCATCATTTGTTGTGAAATTGAGGTTCTTATCAATGTGCTTGAGATTCTTGTGACGATCGGTCTTCTGTCGGGTAGCCGATTCTCATGTCGGCATCTTGACTATCCTCCGTGCATGTCAGCAGAGGCGACGTCAATCTCTATTACTGTATGGTAAAGCCTACGGTAAGATAATCCGGTCTCTGGTTTTAAACTCTCATCCCGTTGTTTAAACTTTCAGGTACCATTGTTCTGAATCTGTGACCCCAGTAAACCTCATGGGAAGCATCATGGACATGAATATATATAGAACTGAAACGTTGGCTGGTATACACAAGGCTCGACCCCAACATATATTTGTGAAAGTAATGTCAGCAATTCATCAACATACTGAGCGCAGAAGCTACTAAAAGAACACAACAAAATCAGAAGAGTTTCATGATTTGAAGCAAGATTGGCAAAACAGATTTTTGCTTTGTTGAGGATTTAACGCAAAATGTTGAAAGCTCAGTATAGCAAATCCTCGATGGTCTAACGGTCATGATTTCCGCTTGTCAATCCTCAACAGGAACAAGCGCGGGAGACCTGGGTTCGACTCCCAGTCGGGGAGATTTACTTTTTTGCTTGACCGGCGTTTGCATTTCCCATCACGATTGAGACTCGTTCTGCTTTTGACACACTTCCGCTTCATCTTCGCACTCTGTCCGTTACCATTGTATGCGACTTCGATTCTCCTATGCCTGGAGTTGACCAAAGGGAAAAGTTGTCGAAATGCGACCGTAAGGACTCAATCTCTCTCCAATCGACAACATCCCTGTGCAAATCAAGCTGCTTGAAGAATGATTATTCCATTCTGCACTGGGGTCTTCTAGTGCCTACCGAGTAGTGACTTGCATGCAGTCATCGTGCAGCGTTGTGGTGCCAAGTCTAGGCCCGGTCTCGGAGGTGGATGGGGAGTCAAAAACGTGGTGAGCGTGGGCAGCGTGGGAGTGGGAACCATCGACCATCAAGCATCAACCATGGCACGATTCTTACCCCGCTCCAAGGCTGACTGGCCGCCGACCTCGGGCGCTCCGTCTCCGACGCTCCGACTCCGACCCGACGTGACAGGGGGACTTGTAAGCCTACTGCACTACGTATTTAACTACATTTCGCAACTCACTACCCTCTCCTGAAGATTATCCTGAAGACAATGATCTCTGAAATATGCAGCCAATCAGACAATGCAATTCTGCCAGCCCTGCAGACCCGGAGACCCTGGATTCGACCTAGCTACTCGTACTGTAGTACCGGCATCTATGAGGATGTGGGCTGAAGAGGCAAAAGCGGCGGGAGGCGGAGTCTCTGCAGGATGATTCAAAGAGGAATAGCTGGCACTGCCAACCATGTGACTGAACTAGTCGGGGATGGACTGGACGGTCAGCATCGAATCCAACTCCACCATCATCCAACCTACCCTCATTCACTAATCTCACTATTATCTAGTCTCTCTCTCTCTTTCTGTCTCTCTCTCCATCACTCTAACGGCTATCTGCATACGACACCCCACAGCAGCTGCAGTGACACTTCAAAACTGCACGGTTCACCCACGGGCCCGCTTTTCCTGGCTGAAGAATCCGATCTTCACCATCCCTGCTTATCATTCTTCACCCTCCCGCCCCCCCGGACAAGACCACACTACTCCGCTCTGTCAAGTGGAGCACCCACCAAGTAACCAAACATGAATCGGAGACAACCCCCGAGACGCCATGCTTGCGTCCGCTGTGTTCGACTCAAAGTGCGCTGTCAGCCTGTTGAAGGCACTGGCACTTGCATCCGCTGCACTCGACTGGGCCAGTCATGCACTCTCCCCGATAGCTTACGCGCGAGTAGTCGGCCCAGGTACCGTTCTCCTCTCGCATCCTCGTCCTATCACTGATTTGTTTCAGGAAAACACGCATCGATGCCTTACAGGAACAGATCGATAATCTAGTCACCCAACTTGCCAGCAAGGTATGCTTCTCGAGTCCATCTCATCGTTCGGGAAGGTGTTAATGGGGAGTCTCATAGCAAGCAGCGGCCAACTGTCAGACCCCGTCGCGCACTGCCAGTGTGACCAACACAAATGACTCGCCCGATCCGTACCAGAAGGATTCACCGTCGCAATTGCCCCGTAGTGAGAGCGAAGGCGACTCGCTCTTCGCGCACCTGGTAACCCTCGAGGAGGCCGACGAGCTCCTGGCCAAATTCCGAGCCCAGAAGATGCACCACTTCCCTTTTGTCATCATACCACCAGACATGGACATCGCCTCACTGCGCGATCAATACCCCTTCCTGCTGACATGTATTGTCTGGGCTTCCTTGGAGCACAACAACCCCTTGCAATTGAAGATGGAAGGTATGATCAGACAGACGATCGCGAACCGGGTCTTCGTCAACAGCGAACGAAGCATGGATCTGCTGCAGGGACTGCTGGTGCATTCGGCCTGGTACCATTACCACTGGAAGAGCATGCACGCGCATCAGTACCTGCTCCTCCAAGTACTGCCGATGCTTGTCTACGACCTCGGCCTGGATCAGGATGAGACAGTCAAGATGCAATTACAGTCGGGACAGATAAGTGAGCCTCGGAAAGAGCAGTTGCACAAGACTCCGGCGGCTCAACGAGCTCTTCTGGGCTGTTACTATCTGTGCCACAAGTGAGTGTCGCATGCGACTAATACTTCTGCTACCGACCGAAGCTGACCGGTCTTAGATCCTCGATGTTTCGCCGACATATGAACATGCGACACACCAAGTGCATCGATACCTGCGTGAAAAACCTCACAGAAAATCCCGAATATCCCAGTGACGCGCTGCTGAGAGCGCTCATAGAAACACAGCCACTCATGCGCAAGTCTCACACGCTGCTAGGCGATGAGCTGAACTACTGCACCGACCAATGCCGAGACGCGACCTGGGAACAGATTCTCGATGCGGTGGCGAGACAACAGAAAGAGGTCGATGATCTGAGATCGCGCCATAATCTACAGGACAATTGTGAGCATTTATCGTGCATTCGAATGAAGACCTCGTATTCTAACCGACCCAGGGGCCATGCGCATGGAGCTGGACGCCTTTCCCACCCTCATGTTCGGGCACTTCCTACGCCGCCAGAAGGACGCGTTCTACCTGCGCGACATCAATCAGCTGCAGCCGCTCGCCACGTCCGCCCACCGAGTGGCGGCCACATTCCTCGCGACCCCATCCGCCGTGGCAGTGCACCTGCCGATCTCGTCCTACACGACCTGCTGGTACGCCATCGTCCTCCTGTGCAAGCTGGGCTTGTCGTTTGGTATCTACAGCCAGCTGCCGACGGATCTCGGCACGCGCAGCGTGCACGAGGTGGTCCTGGCCACGGTCCACAAGATCGAAGGGTTCTCGCTCGGGGACGATCTGTGGGCGGGCTGCAAGAAGGCCATCGCCAAGCTTCTGACCTGGCTGGAGAAGACCAGCAACGAAACCCCGCGGCCCATGCTGCCCAGTCCCGCCGTCGCCACGTCCGAACCCCCCAGCCTCATGGCGCTGCCGCCCCCCATGCACTGCCCCCCTGGTCCGATGATGCCACTCTCGCAACAGTACCACGTTCCAGATCAATGGCAGTCGCCTCCGATCCCTGGCGGCCTGCCGACGGGGTTCGAGACGGACATGATGATGGGCATGGAGAGTAACATCATCGTGCAACACATGATCGACGAACTCAGCCTGTTCGGGTGGGCTGGACAGGGTCCCTATCTGCCAAGCATTGGGGTCTGATCACTTGGGTCCTAGCAGCAATAGTGCTGACTTCTCTACGGGAGAGCCCCTGTGCCGCTAGACTGTTGGCACTGTGATGATCGCCACGCATTTTGTACATGATTTGACGCGTTTCCGCCATCTGTCTCAACGAGCGTACTAGATTGGGTTTAGGATATGGGCGTTGCGGGTTGTTTCTTGACAAGCGAGTTTGAATTGATTATAATATTCAGGAGCGGAGGTGTTTTTGACAAGCATGCCAATATTGCACACGTGAATTTGTGTCTATGTCTGTTTCATCATGTCTATGATATTCGTTCAAGTCACCGCTTTGTGTATGGTTGGTGTGGTATGCATATGAAGTTCTCTCCCTTAAACAAAGACCTGCTGGCATAAGGGAACCGAGCCACGAATGCGTGCCATCATCCGGGTCAATGCCGCTGCTCACAAAAGAAGCCTTGAAAATTGATATCTGTTCAAAGGCAGAACATGAACAGCGCGGGGCCATGCTCGGATCCACAGCCAACCTTCCTCATCGCTGGGATGACTCGGGTTGCATTCCTGTTGTTCCTGCGTTCCTGCAGCACGAACAGTAAGCGGGACGGCTTGCCCGGCTGCCGATATCCTTGCCCATGCCGAGGATGCGTATCACCCTATGGTGACGATTGACCTCAAAGGAAGCCAAAAGCGGCACGACCGTAGCCCTAGGCTAGAAGCCTGCGACCGAACTCGAGGAAGACTTCCTGCACAGTACTTGGCCTTGATCCATCCCGTTCCGTCCTCGAACCAAACCTCGACTCCACTAATCGCGAGTAAACCGAAGCACTGTGCACACCTCACAATGCCAGCGCCAGCACCAGCACCAGCACCATCGCCACCCCCTCAGAAAATCACCATCTCAAACGCATCGCCTAACCCCCTGGCATGAAGCCACTGCTCGAGCGCCTGCATATCACCACGATTCGCCCGCTGCCCACTGCGCTCCCCCAACGAATCCGTGATCTCCTCCATCCCGGTGAACACGCGCTGCACCGCCGCCCCAGTCTCGCGGAACCGCTCGCTGACCTTCTTCTGGTGGCTGGGGATGTCGCCCCACGAGTGCGTCTTGATGAACTTCATGTACGCGTCGATGTCCGCCGACGCGCCCTCGAGACACAGCACCCCCGGTTTCCCGGCTAGCACGAACCCCGTCAGCGCGTACTCGGGCGCGTGGTTCACGAGGTCGTCGCGCTTCGCCCGCGTCGACAGCGATGGGAAGTAGAACCAGACCCGCACCAGTGGGCCGCGCGCAGCGGACTCGGAGGTGCAGGGGGGGTTTGAGGAAGCTTCTTGCTGGGCTGAGGCTAGGAGCTGAACGGCTTGTTCTTGGATGTGGGTTAGTGCCTCGAATACGTCTGCGTCCGCGGGTATGGCTGCCGCCAGCTTGGCGACGTCGGCTTTGGATAGCCAGTCTGGGCGCAGCGAGTAGGTTGGTGGTGGGGGTTGGTCCAGTGCTTGACCGGGCTGGTCGCAGTGTAGTGGGATTGTGAGGTTGACTTGGAAGCGCTTGTCGCTGTCTGCGAGGGGCAGCGAGATGTAGAGCGAGATGCTGGTCGGGATGCCGGAGGGCGCGCTGGTGGGGTTGGGGTCCTCGCACCAGGCGCGCAGCTTCTCCAGGCATTCTGCCGAGGCCGGGGGGATCTCGAGTTCCTCCGGGGAGGCGTACATCGCTGTGAGGAGGTCGATGGTCGAGAGTTGCATCTCCATGAGGTCGACCGGGAGCACGGTGGTGGGGTGTTCTGGTATGGTGGCCATGATTCTCTGTGTTTGACCGTAACAATTACTTAGAGACAATGATGAGGTGAACCGGCCAATGGAAGGTGATAACAGCTTGCCAGAATTGCTACGATTCAGTTTGGTGCTGCAATTGGCTGGCTAGCGAGGTATGACTGGGGTATGCTTTGAAATGCATGCAGCAACAAGCGGGCGGGTGGGAGCCATTCTGTTCCTCCGACAGCGGAGCCGCGGAAAATGGATCTTCCGTTATCTCTGGCCTCGGGGCTCCGCAACTCGGAGGGGCAAGTGGCAAGGGGCCTTCAAGCATCACCACCCTCAATATTGCTGCAAAATCCACGGTCTCAGTGGTGCTGGATTGATGATACCTTCTCCGCTGGTGAGGATAAAAGCTCATGAGCCCAGCTCTGTGTAAGTATGTGGCAGTCTAAGCGTTCCAGGTGGCCATTCGCCGCACGAAGAGCCAATTACCGTCACTTGCAATGCAGGTGTACCGCCGGAGCACCGCAACAAGAGAGGCATAGTTACCCTCGGCTTATCGCATTGTGATCTGGACCGGCACGTCACACCCCGTCCGTCCCTGTTGTAACTTGCAGAAAAGTGAAGCTCGGCGATAATAGCTTGAAGGGGCTTAGACGGGGGCCTTCCCCGCAACTTAAAGCCGAGATGAACCAGCTTGGATATGCAGATCCCTCGAGTGAAGTGGATTAACCGCGCAATTCCGCCGGTCTACCTTGTTTTCCGTTACCCTATCAAGGTAGAGAGTAGAAAATGCCAATCGCGTCAAGGGTGAGCGGTATCAAGCCCTTGAGGCCGGTGTTGCAGACCGTTCCTGTCGATCGTCGAATTGGGGAGGAGAATTCGTCAGCTCTGCGTCCCCATCGACGCGGGAGAAACCCTGTAGGCAGAGATGCAGGGGTATAAATTGGTCCTTCTGTGCCTGTTGATCCCCTTCAGCAGCAACAGCTCGTCTCAAACAGTGACTCCTGTCCCTTCCTCAAACAACTCCAAACCACAAACAAAATGCGTCCTCTGTCAGCCACCCCCGTAACCCTCCTCACCACCCTCCTCTCCCTTGGGGGAACAACATCCGCCACCCCCAGCGACACTTGCGCCAACAGCACCAACCCCTACACCCTGTACCCCGTGACCACCAACATCACCATCCCGGAGATCGCCGCGCGCACCAACCGCAGCCTCTGCGACATCGCGCGCCACAACCTCATGGCCGACCCGCTCATCCCGCCCAACATCGGGCAGACCATCGTGATCCCGCCGCTCAGCTGCGCCTCCTCCCCGCCGGACAACGAGTCCTGCCTGATCCCCAACACCACGCGCACCGCGCTCTGCATTAACGGCGGGCCGCGCCTCTACTACACCGTCCACGGCGACACCTACGACATCATCGCGCGGCGGCTGAACCTCTCCACCACCGCGCTGATGGGCAACACCTCCACCTCCATCGCCGAGACGTCGTCGGCCAACGCCCTGCTGGAGGTCGGCCAGTTCATCAAGGTGCCCCTGTGCGAGCCCAGCCAGTGCTCCATCAAGCCGTTCACGCTCGAGTACGGCGTGTACAAGGATCTGGCGGACGAGTATGGCACGACCGTGGGCCAGATCATGATGCTGAGTCCGACGTATAACTACAGTACCTCGTTGATGACCGGGAACACGCGGCCGACGCTGGATCTGCCGTTCAATTGTTCGGCTACCGGGGATGATGTGGTGGTGGTTGATTAGAGGTTGCTTGGGAACCAGTCAGTTGTCTCAGTAGTTTGCACGGGGATCGGGTGCCTTGAACAAGTATATTCAGGTACATATCAGCGTCGTAAAATATAACTAAATTCTGTTGCCTTGGATTGTGTATGTTATTTTCCTGTTTTGGGATGGGAACGAGTACTCTAACTGATTGGGAGATTCATTCCTGCTGATGAGTGTCTAGAGATTCAAAAAGCGGTGTGGCATTGCGAATAGAGTGTGAAAGTACTGGCTACGAGTCAACGAAGATAGGGTTGCAAAACCACCATGGGCAGTTGGGGATAGCGGGAGGAGCTCCGTGGGAGGAGCTCTTGCTATCCTTCGGTGAATTCTTGGCATGAAATATAGCATCAAGCCCAACAAGCATAGTCTTCTACGGCTAAAGCGTATACCAGGTCAATGATATAACTCCATTCTGTCTCGCAATATTACCGTCCTAAAACCTTCGACACCTATAACCCATTCCTTACCTCCGACCAAAATGTCCCTCAACGAAATCACCGGCAAACTCGCCCTCATCACCGGCGCCTCAGGAGGGTAAGCCGCCAATCCCAAGGCCCCAGGTCCAACCATCTTACCCAAAACAACAGCATCGGAAGCGCCTGCGCCCGCCGCCTCGCCCAGAGCGGGGTCCACCTCGCCCTGACCTTCTCCACCAACCGAGCCGCCATCGACGAGCTCGTCGCCGACCTCCACTCCTCCTCCCCCTTGACCGCAAGCCCCCTACGCATCTCCACCCACCAAGTCGACGTGAGCCATCCCGAACAACTGGAGCACCTCTTCACAGAGATCGAGGAGCATCACGGCCAGCGCCCGGACATCCTCATCTCGAACGCCGGGTATGGCCGCCGCATCCCGGACGTGTGGGATATCCCGCTGGACGAGTTCGACCGCATGCTGACGGTCAACCTGCGGGCGTCTTTTGTGCTGGTCAAGGGGGTGGTCGAGCACATGAAGGCCCAGCGGTGGGGACGGATCGTGTTCATGTCGTCGATTGCGGCGCGCGGGGGCGGGATTAATGGGTGTCGTATGTCCTTTCCTTCCCTATACGCTGAGGATGCGGATTCTGCCGACTGTCTTGCTGTGGTTGAGTGGATGCTGATAAAAAGGGGTGCAGATTACGCTGCCTCGAAAGGCGGTCTGACGGGGATGATGATGAATCTGGCGACCCGGTTGGCGGAGTATAACATCAGCGTGAATGATGTCGCGCCGGCGATGATCGGGGAGACGGGGATGGTGGCCAGTGCGGAGGCGATCCCCCGTGAGGTGGTCGAGGGGATCCCGCTGGGGAGGCTGGGGAAGCCGGAGGAGGTGGCGAATGTGGTCATGATGTTGGTCACGACAGGGTATATGACGGGGCAGAGTTTGTTGCTGGCGGGGGGGTTGAAGTGAATCTTCGTTTGTCTGGGATTGGGGTTGCTGGTGTGTTGGTTATTCTTGAAGTTGATTTGAGGTATGTGTTAGAGGGTCGGTCATCTGAATAACGTTGTTTATCTAGTCGAAGCTGCGAGTTAGGGTTGAAGTCTTTGGGACCTTACCCTTCTTGTCCAGCTGATTATAACCCGGCACAAAAACTCAATGTTTGTAGGAAATTCAATGATTGTTAACAAGCCAACTCGGTTCAGTAGATCTGACTTGTGAAGACTCTCTTTATACCTAGGCATAGTTATCTAAGCGATCATTCTCAGATCTTGGCCTTGAATCACCCAGAAAAGCTTCTCGCAGATTGTATATTTGCTGGCCAGGGAAGGTGTACTCTTGGATCAGCAAGTGAACACAGTAATCTGCAATGCTCATCTCAATAAGATCAACCCGACATCGTCAGACACTCATGTTTAGTTGGCACGAACAAAATTTATATGAAACATTTTCATAGTTCTAACACGCAAATGACATTCTGAAAGGGAACAAGAAACACCAGTAATCAGTCATCGATTTCACTGAGACAATCTCTCCCCAGCTTCCTACCCAACATCGACAGCCTCGTCTCCCACCATTCACACCGGCAAAACCACCTTGACCCCCATATACTCGCGCTGATGCATGATCTTCCCCTCGATCAGCACCTGATCCGCGCCCACCGAGTTCCGCACCGAATCCGTGGGATCCGTACACGTGGCGATCTGTATCTCGCGCCACTCGCGATTCGTGGGGACCAGCTTGCCCTGCGCCGTAAGGTTCCGGAACTCTTTATAGACCCCTTGCTCCTCGATGCAGCCCTCTCTCTGAATCAGAGGTGAATCTGCAGAGCCATCAGTCATCAGCATCATCCTCAGGCCCCAACAAACCGTGGAGAAGGACACTCACCCAAAGCCGGCCCCATCCGCAAATCCCCGACCGAACTATTGAACAGCACCAACGACAAGCGCTCCTCCTCCAACTGATCCGCCGGCGGGGTGAACACCCGGTGCCGGGTCGCCTTGAAATGCCCGCCCGAGACGATCTCCAGGGTATCCCCGATATTCACGACCAGGGCCCCCGGGCGGTACGGCACGTAGTACCACTGCTCGTCGCGGCCCCAGATCTGCAGACACGAGATGGGCACGCTGAAGAGCAGGGTGGTCAGCCCGAAGTCCGTGTGGCCGTGCATCTTGATCCCCTTGGACGCGTCGCGGGTCGCCTGCTGCACGGGCCGGAACAGCGCGTGCCGGAAGTACCCTTCCCCTGTGGGGCTGCCGTGCGACTGCACCTTCTCCCACAGGTAGTCGTCCGGCAGCTCGAGGACGCGCGAGAACAGGGTCAGCAGCCGTCGGTTCACGGATTGCGTGAGGTAGGTGCAGAAGGCCTCGATCTCGTCCATGAAGGGCTGCAGGCAGTGCGGGACCCGGGTCGAGGGCGAGGCCCATTCGGGCGTGTACCAGTTGAATTGTTCGATGCCGTCGGCGGGGCCGCGGTGGCGCTGTGGGTGGTCAGTTTTGTGTTTTGAGGAGGGGGAGGGGGGCTAGGAGGGACAGCTGGAGTGGTGGGGACTGACCTTGAAGCCGTAGGGGTGCTTGTAGCCGGACCAGACGCCGGTTTCTGGGTGGAAGAGCAGGCGTTCCTTGTCCTCCTCGCTGATGTTATTGTAGAGGTATTGTGCTAGGCCAAATTGGCGGTGGAGCTGAGGGTTGTCAGCATCGCTTGGATCTACCTCTGGTAATGTCTTACCTGCTCCAAAGACACGCCGTAGTTCTCGAGGAACAAGAAGCCGTCGTCACGGATGGCCACCTTCACCTGCTGAATCAGCTCGTTGACGACAGCGGGGTCTTCCGAGTCAAGCAGAGACAGGTCGATGGATTTCAGTTCGGCGAAGTTGTGCTTCTCCTTGGTGACGGGTGGAGGAGACCAGTTGGGCACAAACGGTTTGCCTGCGAGTGTCGGCGAGGGGGGGTGGAAGGGAGCGCTGGGTGCCATTTTGAGTTTGGTGTTTGTAGTTTCTGAGGTGTGTTTACTGTATTGGTTGAGCAAGTGTTGACTCGACTGCGATGGGTTCATTTATATCCACTGTGTCCAATGTGCTCCGTGGTCATACGAGATTCCCTTCCTTTGCCTGCCATTATCTCTCATCACCAGGGAAAATGATGACTGCTCCTCAGTGAACTCCCATTTCTCTCGTCCTTGAGCTCCTCGATCACTCGCAGAGCTCCCGC